GGACCCAATCATCTCCATTTTACAGTTTGGCAAACCAAAGCTATTTGCATATGAACTCTAAGTGCTGTCTCTAACTCTAGGTTTAAACCCAGACATTCTGACTAGACACCAAGGTCTCTTAATGTTTGTTGCCCTATTGCCAATTCCTCCTGTGCTTTCTGGGGCTACTCTTGCTAAGATAGTTATTACAAAATGTAACTTCAGCACACTGGTTTGGAGGCTCCTGTCTCTAACTCTGAGCTAGCTGGGTTCTTGCCTGGAGTTCTTCTGCCTCCATCTGTCTATGAACCATTGTTCATGAACTGGGCCCAGCTCATGCCTTCCCCAGCTCATAAACACTACAGTGCAGGAACTGCTCACAAGGCTCCCAGGGCCCAGCCACCTGGAATGTGTGATTTCTCTATATTGCTGTCACTCCTACCAGCCCAGGAGTTATCTGTGTATTGTGCTCTGCCAGTCCAGGATTCATTGAAATATTTGCTGGACTTTCTCAACTTCTGACTGTAACTACAACAAGAGGAATGAACCTGAGACTTCAGAAAGGACTCGTAGCACAGAGGTAGGGAAAACCTAGCAGTCATCAAGTCTTCCCCAGGCTGGGAACATGGTAACCAGCCCACAGGGTTAAGTCCAAGGGGACTTCCAAGATGAAACCACCCAACCAGTCAGATGGTAACTGCTGTGCACAAGGCTAGGGGCTAAGAAGGGAGGCTGGGACTAGATTCCAAGAAATTCTGAAGCTGATGACTCTTACCCCATGAACTTTCCCCTTCCCACTCATCCTAACTCTCTAGAGGAAGTCACTGCTGCCCTGGCCACAGGTATTGCCAAAGTTCACTCGGTTCTTAAAGCACCTGCTAGGACTGCAGGCTGGAGAAAGGGGATCTAATTATCTCCATCTGACAGTTTGGCAAGCTAAAGTTTTTGCATGTATTTGCTTATGAACCCTAAGTGCTGTGTCTTCCTGTGAACATGTGTGAAAAGCACATGTTGAGGGCCACTGCAACAGCGATGACTCTGGACAGTCTACGGCCTGGGAAAGCCCCCGACTCCTACGGTTCCTCTTCAGACGGGCTTCTTGCATGATTTAGGAACGAACGTGCTGGCTCATCTCCCTTCCCCCACAAGATAGGTCATGGGCAGTCATAACCTTTGGTGGGAAATCACCCGTCCTAGCACCCTGATAGCAATAGGCAACCTGCCCCTTTCGCTTCTTGGGCTGATACAGCCTATTTTGGAGCAACTGAAGAGCCCAGCGATGTATTCTAACCAGTCATAGCTAGTAAATGGCAGGGCTGGGGCTGGCACCTGAGACCAACTGGAACGCACCCTTCTCCTCACCCGCGCTCTAACCCATGCCAGTCGGTCTACCCGGTCACTAGAATCCTCTTACTCACTGGCTGGGTTACCTCCGGAAAGGCACTTAACCTCTCCACGCGCCCCACAAGGTCAGCAGCTTTGCTTTCGGGATTGAAAACAGTTCGCAAAGGAGGCGTAAAGAAAAAGCAAACCCACCCGTGGGTACCCGCGCAGTCCATTCTTCCAGCCCAGGTCTGTCTACTAGCCCAGAAGAGAGGTCGTACCTACCCCCCGGCCCCGGGGACCCACGAAAGCAAATGTAGGGTAGGGAAAAAACCGAAACCGCCACACTCTTCTGCCTCCCCCGCTCCGTTCCGGGAACCAGTGAACCAGACTTCGCGGAAGCGCGCCCCGCGGCAGGCGCCTGGGCCCGGGACCGCCCCGACCGCAGCCCGCAGCCCGCGCCGGGAGGTGCGGGGGCCGGCGCGGTCGGGCCCGAGCAGCAGCACAGCGCGCGCTTCCGCCCCGCTCGGCTCCGGCGGCGGCCAAGACGGCCCCACAATCCCCTTCTGGCTCCGGGGACGGGCGGGGCGGGGCGGGGCGGGGTGGGGCGGGCCGAGAGGGCGGAAATAATTTTCTGTTTCGCTCTCTCTGCCCCAGTCCCTTTGCGGCGGGACGTGCAAGGCGGGTGGAGATGCGGGAGGCGGGAGTGGGACGCGCTGCTTGCAGTGGCGCGCTTCGCCGGCGGGTGTAGAGAGGAATCGCAGGGTTTGAGTGCCTACTGTGTGTATTTGGTCTTTACGAAGGTATACCCGGTCCACGCCTCAGGGTAACGCCTGATTTATAGGAGGGACTTGCTGAGAGTTGATAGCTGTACGGCCAGATTATGAGTGACACTTCAAATCAGTGATAAGTCATATTACGGAGAGCACTGTGAACTTGAACCACTTGTTGGTCGAGACCTGCTCCTGCTTGGATTTTGTGGATATGCACCAAGTGGACGCTCGGGAAAAGGTTGGAAGCTGGAAAATGAGCCTGACAGCTCCGCCCCCGGTACCCGCTGCGAACCAGCCAAGCCTGCAGAGGGTTCCCCAGGACCAGAGGGGAACCCTTACAATAGAGCGCGCGGGGAAGAGGCGGGCAGCTCAGCTCCCCACAGGCTGGAGTCACGGTGCCAGAGTCCTAGTCTTAGCAGAAGACAAGGCTGGCTCCAAACCTTGGATCTGGGGTTCAATCTAGGCGCCTCTGAGCAAGTTACTTAACCCGTGTCGCAGTCCCTGCAAAAAGCGGAGGACGTTTCCACCCACCGTAAATGGTCGTGGGGAAGAAGTCAAACTACGTTCCTAAAACGCTAAACGTGCATCAAACGTTCATCATAAAAGCTTTGGGGACATGTTGGACTCGGGCCTGACTCAAGATAGGCATCGGTTCCCTGTCCCCAGGTCACCAATTCCTGGGCACAGGGACTAAGGGGTCGTAACGTTGACCCCCGTCCGGCGAAACCCGGAACTCTGACCACTTTGACAGTAAGGGTTCCAGAAGTAAATACGCCGATATTTTAAAACTGTCGCAAAGGTAGGACAGGCATTTTTCGCGGTTTTCCTGCAGTAGTAGTAAGTACGCTAAAAACTTCAAATAAGGTTTCTCCTCTGAGTCTTAACTTTTCTTATGAGCAAAGTTCACAATCTGAGTAAAAAAAACAGCCCTAGCCAACATCTTGGCCCTCAACGTGTCCTGATTCAGAAGCCACAAGATGGGCTACCCCGGGTCCGCTTCTCTAGACAGCCTCTTGGTCCCGGCAGCCTCCGGGATTCCCAGGGTCCAGCAGATTTGGGGGCTGCAGCCCAGAACTCGGCTTCACAGACCTCCCCAAACTCCCGCCTCGCCAGGATTAAGGGAGTAAATCCCTGACGCCACAGACCAGGTCAAGGACAAGTTCTCCCCCGCCCCGCTCCCCCCCTCCTGGGCGGGGACTCACCCCCCTTCCGGGATGAAAGGTACTAAAGAGGCGCGGAGGGGGGAGCCGCGGGCTCCGGCCCCTTGATGTTCCGGTTGAACAGGTGCTAGAGAAAAGGAGGCGGACCCGGCGGAAGAGTCGGCCAGGGGGGCAGCGCGCTGAAGGGGGAGCGGCCCCCTCCACCCTCAATCCCCCGGCCCGCCTTCTCCTCTCCGAGCCCCCTGCCCCTCCCCCCAGGAAGCGTTCCCGGCCTAGAGGTCTTTGAAGTGTGGATGAAGCCCCCAGGGCTGCGGTCCCCCCTCAGCCACCCAACCTCCCGCTGAGAGGGTATTTGACCTTTGGTCCCAGTGAGGGCGCCGTCTCCCCCTTGTAAAGAAAAAAAGGGGCTCAGGTCTTGTCTTTGGGTCTATACCAGTCTGGGGGTGGTGAGTTTTGGGTCGCCCTCCCCCTAAGCCCCAGACCCGGTTTCGGGGACTTTAATCCTCCGTCGTACGGTTGCGAGCGCTATTGTGTTTGTGTGCACGCCCAGAAGTCAGGCGTGATTCTGTTTGCTAGGGCCTCCTAGGTAGCCGCGATCTCTTAACTCGCGTTAAATCTTTAGGCACGCCTTGAGGCTGGAGGTGGAGTTAGGTCTTTGAGAAATCGGATGGTGGGGCTTGGATGCCACTGTGGTACCTCGACGTACCCCAAAGGTGTCTAGAAACCTTACGAGTAATGACTTCAAAGGGAAGCTCCCGGAGGGCAGGAATATCTACTCTGGCGGCCAACCTAAGCTAGTTTAGCCAACAAATATTTGTGCTGGGCGTGGTGGCGCACGCCTTTACTCTAGCATTCGGGTGGCAGAGGCAGAATGAGGAGTTCAAGGTCATCCTTGACTACTACGGTACAGTGAGTTCGAGGCCAGCCAGAGCTACAGGCTCTTGAGCTAACAAAAACGTTATTTATAGAGCAAGTAAGTTTCCATGTGACATTGTCTACCCTCCAGAGTGGCCTCCAGAGACAATGACTATGAGCTGCCATCCAAAAAGACATTCCCCTCCCTTCCAAGAACAAGCATGGGCGAATGGTTCACATCGCCCAGTTCCTTTTAGAGCCCCTGATTTTTATCTCTCCCCAGATTTCCCTAGGGTTGCAGAACACACTCAGAGAAGGGGGGGTAGTGGGTGATTGGAGACCCCCAAGTGTGACACCGAGGACCTGCAGAGGAGAGGGCTCGGGAACTATTCACCTAGAGTCATAAAAGGGAAAAGAAAAGACGGAAAATCTGCACGGAGCGCACGAGCGAAAAGCTCCCTACCAAGCCAGGCTTTGTTCCCTGAACCTAAGACTTTACCCGGCGGCGGGCGGGCCGGGAGCGAGCGAGCGGAGGCGCGCGGCCATGGCTGCCGCGGCCGGGCAGGGGGGCCGGGGGGGCGGCGCGTGAGCGGGCGGCGCGGGGCGGGCGGGCGCCCGCGATGTGCCACTCGGCGCCTCCCCCCGCCGGGCCCGGGTTGCACGGCGGCCGGGCGGCCCTGGTAGCCGGCGAACGGCGCGGAAGAGGAGCGCGGCGCGCGAGTCTCATTGTTGGGGGGGGGGCCCGTCGGGGCATGAGGGCGAGAGCACGGCGGGGGGGGCGGCCAGACAGAGCGAGCGAGGAGGAGGAGGAGGACGCCGAGGAGGAGGAAGGAGGAGGCAAAGAAAAGAAGCGGCGGCGGCGGCGGAGGAGGGGGCGAGGAGGCGCGCGGCCCCCGCTCCCTCCCTCCCCCCCTGACCCCCGACCCCCGCCGGCCGGCCCCCAGCCCCAGCCCCGGAGGGAGCTCATGGGAGTATGAAGGAGATGGTAGGAGGCTGCTGCGTATGTTCGGACGAGAGGGGCTGGGCCGAAAACCCGCTGGTCTACTGCGATGGGCACGCGTGCAGCGTGGCCGTCCACCAAGGTAAGGCGGGGGGCGGCCGGCCGGGGGGGGGGCTGCGGGACCCCGGGGGCGGCGCGCACACCGGGTGCCCTCGGCCGCGCCCTCCGGAGCCCTCCTGGGGCGCGTGCCCCTCCCCCACCCACCTGAAGCGAAGGGCGGCGTGGGCTCCCCCCGCAGCCTGGTCCTCCAGGACCGGGTCAGGCATTGTTTTCCTGCCTATTGTTCCAGTCCCGCGCCCCCCACCCCAAGTTGAAGGAGTTTTGGGGAGAGTCCAGGGAGCAAGAGTGAACTCCCTGAGCCCCGCACCGCCGGTGTCGGGGCTGTCCCGGGAATGTTTACCTGTGAGGTATCCCCCCTCCCGCCCGGTTTATTTTGGTTCCCGCTACGGGAGGAAGAGGTCAAGAGGGGGTCATCCCTCCTTGTTTCCGGATACTGGGAGGAGCGGAATTAGGAAGGGAGGAGAAGGGTCCCACGGGAGAAGGGACTCCAGAAATTCTCCGGGGAAGAGCTGAGGCTGGGAGAGCGGTGGTACAGGGGGACGGAATGGAGGAGAGGGAGGTTTGGAGTTTCCCCCAGCAGCACATGGTTCGGGAGTTAACTCCTTAAGGAATCTTGCCGAGGGCGCAGGCTGGCATCTCCGCCAGTCTGTCGCAGCCAACCGCCCCCCCCCCTTCCTGAGACAATCCTTAATGCTGTGTCTGCGGGCTCTTCCCGCCAGTCACCTCTGGTTACCTGCACCGCACCTGCTCAGCTTTGACTTCTGACCTGGACCTGTGATAGAGGCAGAAAAAGAGGTTCCTGGACCCCAGACTTCCTTGCCTCATCCCTTACTGGCCCTTTAAGAAGTGCTCCCCCCTCCCATAACAACAAAACGTGTTACAATCATGACTATTTCTTGTTCTGATGCCTGAGGGACTGGTCAGGGCAGAGGACGGGAAACAGGTTCAGGGAAGATGGGGATGGGTAGGGGGATGAGGATGGCGGGTGGTTGCAAGTTTAAGGTCAAGGACTGTCAGACTTTTGCCCCTGTTTAGAACGCTTGGTTGTGTGATGGGAGGCTGGCTCTATGCCGTTAGACATTTCTTGGGGTCCTGTTTCAGAGTGACCCGGGGTCTGGGGATCAGCCCCACCTACTGGGCTGGTTTTAGTCGGCTGAGTCTCTCCCCACCCCCAGCTACTCTGGGAAACAGTGGCTGAGGACTTTTGCTCAGTGACTCTCCATCCCCCCACCCTTAGCTTGCTATGGCATCGTCCAGGTGCCAACGGGACCCTGGTTCTGCAGGAAATGTGAATCTCAGGAGCGAGCAGCCAGGGTGGTGAGTTCTATTCTCTCTCCTTTTTCTCTTCCCCCCATACCTGAGCATCTCCTGCAGGTTGAGCTAGGGTACCCTGAGGCTGGGGCAGGGCTGAACTTTGCCACTCAGGATATCCTGTTTCCTGACCCCACCACCAGCCCCATCTCCCTCTGCTCATCACTCAGTCTGCCCCACCCCTGCCGGCGTGGGGGCTTTGACTTTTGTGTGTGTGTGTGTGTGTGTGTGTGTGTGTGTGTGTGTGTGTAACTTTTTATTATGAAAGGTTGTCAAGGTGACATAAGTAGAGGGATTACAATAATGGCCCTCAGGTCCTCACCCTTAGTCTTCAGCAGTTATGAGCTCATGGCCAAGAAGACTCTTTCCTGTACACCCTCACCCATCCCCATGCCCAGAGCTTGTGTCATCTTGGGTCCTTTTGTATGTGAGTTCAGGGAGGGCCCCGGTCAGCAGAGTGCCCCAACCCATGTGCTCCTTGCATTGGCAGAGATGTGAGCTGTGCCCACACAAAGATGGGGCGTTGAAGAGGACTGACAATGGAGGTGAGGGGACCCTGGACACCTGCCGAGGTCAGCCAGGCCCCCTGAGCAGGTGTGGGGTGGAGGCTGGCTATCCCTGCTTTGGTTGCTACAGGAAGGTTGTGGAAGCAGGGGGCAGTCTACAGCTTCATGTTGGGAGGGCTGGGGTCTAGTGCTTGCCACTCTGCTGAGGCTAATCCCCACACTGCCCCAGGCTGGGCCCACGTGGTGTGTGCCCTCTACATCCCGGAGGTGCAGTTTGCCAACGTGCTCACCATGGAGCCCATTGTGCTGCAGTATGTGCCTCATGATCGCTTCAACAAGGTCAGTGGCCCCTTGCTGGTCCCCTTCCTGGCCTGCTGTCCTGGGGGGTGCCACCATTATGCTCTCTAGGTCTCTTGGGGGAACTCAGGAGATGGGTGGATACTTACCTTCTGTGCACAGACAGGTGTATGTATGACTGTGTTCTGTAGCTGGCACAACAGTGAGCTTCCTCAAAGTAGCGCAGCCAGAGAGCAGCCTTTAGTTAGTAGTGCGCTTTCTTGAGTTTCTGCTATGTGCCCATGCTCGAGGCACAGGCACCCAGTGCTTGCCACTAGTCAAGACAGATGTGTCAGCAGGCATTGAGGTAAAGGACACTCAGTGAGGCTTGCTTGGGTATCAGGTGGTTAAAGGAGATGTTTAGGCTGAGACCTGGGCCAGGGAAAGAACTGACGTCCATGAGAAAAGACAGCATATGCAGAGGTCCGGGAAGTGGAGCGACTGGCGAATCGGGGAGCTAGGCTAACATAGATGCCAGTTTCTCCAACCTCGCCAGGGATCGCGCTGTCTACATGAGGATGTGCATTGAAAATTGGATACTCAGGCTAAACAGGTGGCTTGGTGGGTTAGGAGCACTTGCTGCTCTTGCGCAGAACCCAGGTTCAGCTCCTGGACTCACATGCCAGTGCGCAACCATATTTACTCCCAGTTCCAGAGAATCAATCCAGTGCACCCTTCTGGCCTCCAAGGGCACCAGGCACACAATGTGGTTCACATACATACATGTAGCCAAACACTCATTCGTATAAAAGAAAATAAACTTTTAAATTGAATATTCAGATGGCCTTGTGACTAGTGCTTGTTGGCTTGCATTGTACAGGTTAGAGACCAACATCTATTCCTGCAGAAACTTCTGTTGGATAGCACTGGTGTGGGCGTGGGGGACAGGATGGAATTGAGGGGAAGCCATAGAATCCCTCGGCAGGCAAGGTGGGGGTTCCCTGGAGGAGGGGTCAATTGTGCTGTGCCCCGCAGACCTGTTACATCTGTGAGGAACAGGGTCGGGAGAGCAAAGCCGCCTCAGGAGCCTGCATGACCTGTAACCGCCACGGTTGTCGACAGGCTTTTCATGTCACCTGGTGAGATTCCCCGCCTGCTCCAGGGCTTGTGGTGGCTGTTGAGTGGGACTGTCTCGTGAGAGATGGTGGCGATGCCATGCTTGGAACTTGGGTTCAGGAGAAGGAGGTGGGGCAGCTGTGGTTTGTGGCTACACCCTGCTGACCTGCCTCTTCCCAGTGCCCAGATGGCAGGCCTGCTGTGTGAGGAGGAGGTGCTGGAGGTGGGCAACGTCAAGTACTGCGGCTACTGCAAGTACCACTTCAGCAAGATGGTGAGTGCTGCGCGCTCGCTCGCTCGCTCGCGGGCACGCGCCTGTGGGACATGCCTGTGCCTGGTGCTGGAAGGTTGAAGAGACCCCATGCCCTCGTCCTCGCTCTTCAGGAGCTCTCCCCGTGACAGGGAATGATGAGTTGCAGCCTGTGTGATGCAAATCAGAACTAAACCAAGTAGTCCAGACAACCCCCCCTGTCAATCTGGGAATCTTTAAGTTAGATACAACCAGAAGGACAAGTAGGATAACAGGTCTTACTGGATCAGTGTCTTTGTCACATTCATGAAGGCTGTTGACCTTGTATGGTTCTCCCATAGCCCCAAATGTGCTGCGTGTGCCCCATTTCACAGGTATGCAAATTAAGTCCCCAATATTATATAGCTTGTCTCATAGCTGGTGGGTGGGGTTCAAAGACAACAGTTTCATCAGAAAGCCCCTCAGGAACCAGCCATGCCTGGGGTAGATAGAGCCCTAAGGTGAGGAGGAACCCGTGCTGGTGCAGGAGGGAAGAGAGGGAAGGATGCTTGATGGGGCCAGGCAGGTAGCGATCATGAGGCAGGGGAATGAGGCAGGTTCTTCTGACTGAACACACTTGGAGATTCCCCAGGCAGGGATATATCTGCAGAGGTAGGCTGCGGCCAGGACTCTGTGCCCCAGGCCACAGCTTGGAGAGCTCCTAAGCCAGAGAGTAACATGATCAGATTTGTGTTAGAGGCAGATTACCCTGGCAGCAACCAAGAGACGGCTGCAAGGGCGGGGCGGGTGCAGAGGGACAGGCCTGGGATCACTGTAGGGGGACTTGCCCGAACATGAGAGCGGTCGGAAAGCAGAAGGTGGATGTGAAATGAGATCCAGGCTGTAGCTAATCACTGGGTGGGGAGAGGTGGGCACCTGGGGGTGTTAGAGGGAGGCAGCTGGCCTCTGGGGGGGCACACTCCTTGGTTCACCCCAGAGCATCTTGTTTTGTGCCGGCTGCACTGGTGTAATGATTAATAGTTCCCCTTTCCTTTTCAGAAGTGCCCTGGTTTGCTCATAAATTACATGGTTGCCGTGCTTTTAGAGTTTGATAGCCACTTAGGGCGAGGTCAGAAGCTTTGCTGCATTTGCAGGTGGCACTAGGTAGAGACGATCAGGTTTGGTGTTGGTCCCCAGGCAGGGTGGCAAGGGCAGATGGAGGTTACTAGGCTGAGGCTGCCTCTGTGGGTATCCAGAATACACTGATCCAGATGTTGAAAGAGACTTACTTGGGAGAAAAGATCTGGAGCTTGATGAAGTAGGAGCAGAGCCCAAAGCTGGCGAGGCCTGAAATTAATCCTAGGCTTTGGCAGCTGGGGAGTAGTTGGCGATCTTAGGGAGCAGCTGCAAGCCTGGGATGGGTAAAGCCATCAGGCCAGGCACAAGGAGGGCAACCCTGGGGAGAGGAGATAGTTTGGTGTTCATTGTCAGCAACCCCAGTTCAGGACAGCAGGTCTTCTGCATGGACCTATACTGCTGGACAGAGAGGAAGAGCAGGATCAAGGGAGGAGGGTATGATGGCTAGAGAGAAATGGAGTTCCCAAGGAGCAAGGGCTCCCTGACTCCCCTCTGTATCCCCTTTTTCTAAGGGAAGGAGGTGGAAATGGGCTGTGCGGTTCAGTCTGCCTGAGACTGCTGGGAGAGCACTCTGGAGTGTAGGAGTGGCAAGAGGCTCAGGCCCAGGTCCAGGTCCACCCCCCAACCTCACTGTACCTTGTTGGGGGCTCGGGCTGGTCCATGCCTCATTTGAGCCTCTGTGCATCGTTAAGACAATGATGCACGCCTTTACTCCCAGCATTCAGGAGACAGAGGCAGGCGGATCTCTGAGTTCAAGGCCATCGTGGTCTATAGAGCTGAGTTCCAGGACAGCCAGAACTACACAGAGAAACCGTGTCTCATTAAACAAAGCAAACAAACAAAGACAACTGGGGAGGAGGCTGTAGGATTTCTAGGTTGACCAGACTGTCACAGAAGACCTGCAGGGCAGAGGGACTGGCCCTGTGATCATGTGACCATCAGGAACCTTCCTTGAGCTAATGAAAAAGGTTTGGCAGTTCCCTCTCCATCTCTACTCCAGAAGACATCCCGTCACTCCAGCGGGGGAGGAGGAGGAGCAGGAGGCGGTGGCAGCGGTGGAGGTGGCAGCGGTGGTACCAGCGGTGGTGTAGGTGGCACAGGGGGAGGCGGCGGCAGCAGTAACAGCTTCCTTACTGGCAGAAGAAGTCGGTCGGCCTCACCATCCACCCAGCAGGAGAAGCACCCTACCCACCACGAGAAGGGCCAGAAGAAGGTGAAGGCCTGCCCTGTCTCACGTAGCTCTTTTAGAGACTCCCACCGGGTGCCCAGGCCTTCCTCTGAGGCCGCTGAGGGAGCTAAGGAAGTACACTTGAGGTTCAGAGGTTGGCACCTGACTTCTGTGTCTATGTAGTCTGTGTTTTCCTCATGGCATGAAAGTGTCCCCAGCTCCCGGTTTCGTGACCCTAGATGTTTGCACACATCTCTAGCCTATCCCCTTGTGCCCCATGCCAAGAAGTGCCTGCTTTTGTTCAGTGTACCAGGGGGACACCCTTGTCAGTGCCTGCTCGTGTGTGCGGCGCTCTGTCACTGGCACGATAGTGGGACAGGCTATTTTTAGCAGGAGGGAGGATGGGGGAGGGGCTCTTGGCTCTCAGGATCTTGCCTGAACCACTCCTGTCCAGCTGGAGTCTGTAGAGGGAGAGAACTCACTGAGCCCCACTCTGAAGAGGGGCTCAGTTCCGCACACCCACATGTCTCGGTTAACCTCCTTCAAACCACCTGCCCAGAAGTGTGTGTTTACCTTTTCCTCCAGAGTCGAAAGGACAAAGAACGCCTTAAACAGAAGCACAAGAAGCGGCCTGAGTCCCCCCCCAGCATCCTCACCCCGCCTGTGGTCCCCACTGCTGATAAGGTACCACTGGTCATTCTTGGGGCGCCGGGGTGGTGCTAGTCTGGGGGTGAGTGCACGTGTAGAGTGAAGGGTCAAGGTGAGCGGGAGCCTGCTTGGGCATCCTCTCTGCTTGGACATCCTCTCACAGCTTGTGGCTAATGTCGCTTCTGCCCAGCAAGTCCTGACACATCTTAAGGGTGAGGTGGGGGTGCCTTCCTGCCTACTAGCTGCCGGATGGGCACCTTTGTCCAAACAGAGGCTCAGCATTGGAATCTTGTCTTTGGAGAGCAGATGTATAGCCCTCAGGCTTGTTTTACATCTTTTGGGGCCCAGCCCTGTGGGATGGGATGGGAACTCCTACCACTGGGAGGACATCTAGATCCCACTTGATGCAGGGTGGGAGTTGGGGGTGGGAGCAGGCTTCTGGCAATACCCTGAAATCCCTAGTCACCCCACCCTTTTCAGCAGGATGGGTAGCATCCAAATAAGCAACAGGCAGGCCCTAACCCTACGCCTGTGTGAGTCTCCCAGGGGCCTGGAGAAAGCACTCCCTCTTGTCCCATTACTGCTAGTCACCTCTGATCCCTCACAAGGTTGGCAGGGCACTGGGCATCTTAGCAGGAGACTCGGGTATCAGGTTTCCAGGGTGATGTTGCTGTGGCAACTGTCCCAGTAACTCCCCTCCTGCTTTGCTTCCCTGGGCTCACCTGGGAAAGCTGGTCCGACCTTTTCCAGGAGCCTTCAGGCAGTTAGAAAGACCTGTGGGGTCCCCTACCAACCCTTGGACATGCTGTAGAGTTTTGCCTATCCCCCCCACAACCCATCCCAACATTTAAGCCCCCTTCCCCCAGCTCTTGTCTTCCATGGCTTTCCCAACCACATCTGGCTTCCTTCAGAACTCCAGCTGCTGGAAAGAACAAAGGAAGACAGAGACGAGGGCTCCGCCCAGGGAGGGGTAGCAGCCCAGGGTGGCTCTCACTTCCCCTCATTTGTTCCTTGAGTGCAGTTTGAATACCTGGTATCCACCCTAAGAAAATCACCCTCCCAGGTACATGAGGCCCAACTACAGAGGCCAGCCTGCCTTTGGAACCTGGGAGAGAAGGGGCACACAGGGAGGGTTTAATTTATTCCTCAAAATAACCCAATGTGGTAGGTGCCTCTCACTTCCACTTCCTCAGTGAAGCTGAGCCAACAGAGAAGTTACATCATTTGTCTGAAAGCACACAGCTAGTGGTACAGCGTTGAACCAAAGTAGTCTGGCTTTATGGGCTGTGTTCTTAGCCAGCACCCAGAACTGTCTTTGCTAGGTACTAGTAACAGCCACCACAATCAGACTCCTTAGTTACTGAACCCTGCTCTCTGTTTGGCATGGAGGTGCCCTGGACTCCCATCCTAAGGATGGTGCAGCAGAACCAGGTCCAGAGGCTAAACAACGTAGATAGCATGGCAAGGAGAACAGAATCTTCTAGACTCACAGTTGCTCCTCCAGTACTTCCCAACACCCTGCTCTCCTAGGTTATTCTGCCTCAGACATAGGACAGTGTACTTCACTTCAGGGCAACATAGCACCTTCCCACAGGCAGGCATGCTTTGCAGTGGCCTGAGAGTGAAGGAATGGTCATTCACCTAGGTGTGTAGGGAGGCTTCCTAGAGTAGGGACTTCTAGCTGGGTTTTGGAGGAGCGAAGGCAGGCTGCCCTGTGGAGGGTTGGTGTGCAGGCCTGGGTATCCAGCAAGAGCTTGTAGTGGTCAGAGACGGGCCAAAGTCAGGTGGCTGTGAGTGGTAACAACTGGAGGAGCCAAGACCAGCGCCTGCCTTTAGGTCAGAGGTAATTACTAATGAACTTTAGATGAACGGTCAGTGCGGAGTGTGCACTGAGCTCTCTCTTGGGTCCTGGGTCTAAGATAGAAAGAGACCTTGGGTTCAGGACATTCCCTAGAATTCCTCAGCTATCCCCTGTCTGCCTGTTCTATCGCCTCCTACAGACTGCCCGCCTGGAAAGCCTTCCTGGGAGACTCCCAGTGGAGCCTAGGTCCTGTGCCTTCGCCCTCACTCATAAGGCAGGCTGAGCTGAAGTGGGCAGCTGGTGATGAACCCCTCTTGTCTCCCTTAGGTCTCCTCAGCTACGGCTTCCTCCCACCATGAGGCCAGCACTCAGGAGACCTCTGAGAGCAGCAGGGACTCAAAGGGGAAGAAGTCTTCCAGCCATAACCTGAGTCATAAGGGGAAGAAACTGAGCACTGGGAAAGGTGTGAGCAGTTTTACCTCCACCTCCTCCTCTTCCTCCTCCTCCTCCTCCTCTTCCTCCTCTGGGGGGTCTTTTCAGCCTGCAGGTGAGTATGGGTGTCCTGGAGGAAGCTGGGAGTGGGAGCCTCTTGACCTGTGCTGTTGTGACAAGGGACTTGCCTGATGTTTACATCTCTCATTTGTTTTTACAAACTGATGTGGGGTGACAAGGCAGGGAACCCCCCCCAGTGGCTCATTTCCCAGCTGGGCTCCCTACCCTCCCTTCTTTTGTTTTCAAGATTTATTTATTTATGTATATGGATGTTTTGTCTGCACACCAGGAGAGGGCATTGGATCCTTATAGGTGGCCGTGTCAGCTCCTATCATAGATAGTTGTGTTGGATATCATTATATGATGGTTGTGGGCTGTCATGTGAGAGCTGGGGCTTGAACTCAAGTCCTCTGGAAGAGTAGTTAGTGCTCTTAACTGTTGAGCCATCTCTCTAGGGCCCACCTTTCCCTCTTAAGCCAGAACTCCTCTTTTCCTTACAGGGCCAACCCCTATAGCTCCACAGTAATGTCCCCTACTTTTGTGTCAAAAAGGACCGTTAGTTCCCGGCAGAGGCCTATAATCCCAGCTTTTGGGAGCTGCAGGATTGCCTGAATTTGAGGCCACCTGTGCTAAAGAGGAAGTACCTGTCCCCAGTCAGTGCTAATGTAGCAGTAATTTGCTTAAAGGTGGAAGTGCTTCCCTCCTGTTTTGTTTCCAGCAGGGCCTAGGACACACGAAGGCTTCATTTCCTACCTGGTGTTCTCCTGGGAAAGAGGGAGGTGGTCCGGCAGTAATTCCCCTCCTTTGTTGCAGGCTCCTCCTTGCAAAGCTCTCCTGACTTCGCAGCATTCCCCAAGCTGGAGCAGCCTGAGGAGGACAAGTATTCCAAGCCCACAGCCCCCACGCCGCCAGCCCCTCCCTCGCCCACGGTCCCTGAGCCTCCGAAGGCTGACCTCTTGGAGCAGAAGGTGGTCTTCTCTGGCTTTGGGCCCATCATGCGCTTCTCTGCCTCCACCTCCGGCTCCAGCCGGGCCCGCGCCCCCTCGCCTGGGGACTATAAGTCACCCCATGTTTCAGGGGCTGGGGCCTCAGCAGGTACCCATAAGCGGATGCCTGCACTGAGTGCCACCCTCGGACCTGCTGAGGAGGCCCCTGAGACAGGCCTGAAGGAGAAGAAGCACAAAGCCAGTAAGAGGAGCCGACATGGGCCAGGCCGTCCTAAGGGCAACCGAGGCAAAGAGGGTGCCACAGGCCCGGCTGCCTCCCTTCCTGGGGCTCAGCTGGCTGGTTTTACTGCCACTGCTGCCTCACCCTTCTCTGGAGGTTCCCTGGTCAGCTCTGGCCTTGGGGGTCTGGCCTCCCGGACTTTTGGGCCTTCGGGAAGCTTGCCCAGCCTGAGCCTGGAATCCCCTCTGCTGGGGGCAGGTTAGTAACCCCTGTAGTTAAAGACCATCTCAATATCTAGCCAGTCCTGTGAGAGGGCATAAATGTAAGAGTTAGAGAAACGGAACTAGGGAAAAACAGCTCCAACAGGCAGAATGGAGGCCGCATTATCTCTAAGACAGTCCCTTTGATGCCTTCTGCATGAAGAGGTTGGGGTAGACACCAGCAGGATTTCCAGTGTTTCCGTAGAGTTAATAAAAGCTAAGAATTTCCCAGACTAAGGCAGGGTAGTAGACTGAGTGGCCACAGTCCCAGGCATGCTATGCTCCCTGAAGATGGGCTGCCTTCGTTGTCTGAAGAGGAGTCTGGGTAGGTGACCTTAGTGTTTCCTCTGTATCTTTGTACCTTCAGGCATCTACACCAGTAATAAAGACCCCATCTCCCATGGGGGAGGGATGCTGCGGGCTGTCTGTAGCACTCCCCTCTCTTCCAGCCTGCTGGGGCCCCCGGGGACCTCAGCCTTGCCCCGCCTCAGCCGCTCCCCGTTCACCAGCACCCTCCCATCCTCTTCTGCTTCCATCTCCACCACTCAGGTGAGGCCCTGTTCCTAGCTCCTTTCCCGGGCAGGTGGGAATGGCCGTCTCTTCTCCTTGTGTGCCTTGTTTCCTACCACATGGTCAGCTGTGGCAGATCGAAAGCACACATGAGCCTTAGTCTGCCCCTCCCAACAGGTGTTTTCTCTGGCTGGCTCTACCTTCAGTCTCCCTTCTTCCCACATCTTCGGAACCCCCATGGGCACTGTTAACCCCCTCCTCACCCAAGCCGAGAATAGCCACACAGGTATGCTGGCCCCTACTCCCTTTCCCTTGTCTTCAGAAATCATGAGAGTCCCGTCCCTCTGGCCATTGCCTACTCTGCCTAAACAAACATACTTCACACACTACCAACCAGGGCATCATACAGGACAAGCTGTGCAGGGCCAGGCCTGGTAGTGAGCTCCCTCCCACGGAAGAGAAGCGCCTGCTCAGAGCAGCAGGAAGAGTGATAAGGCCAGCTCAGACAATCCAGGGCCAGCCCAGTGCACTTACACTCCCCTGGCCCCCACCCGTGCAGTTGTAGTGTGTATGGGGGGGTGTCCCAGAGGACCTGCCAGCGGGGCTTTCTGCTCTCCGGGTATTTAGGAGTTAAGGGGGTGGGAGGCAAGCTCTCCTATCTTCTCCCTGGAGTCTGCTCAGCTTCTAAGAGCTGAAGAGAGACACCCGGCCTGTCAACCTGGGGGTGGGACTTAGCTGTAGGCTGCCAGGGCAGGTAAGCATGTCAAAGAAACCAAATCTTTAGTTTCAGGACCCATCAGAACCCAGGTGGGTAAGATTGGTGTGTTTTCTATAATCTAGAGAGTGTCTGTCTGTCTGTCTTGTGGCCAGCAGTTTTCCATCCGAGTTTATGAATATAAAAAGTCAAAAAGTCAATCATGATGATACAGCGATGAAGGGCTTGCTTTGTGCTCGAAGAGCCCTCCAGCTAAGCATGTCGCTTTTATGACCTTATTTTAACCCTGGGAAGAAACGCTGTCAGAGGCTGGTTACCATCTCAAGGTTGCACAGCCAGTGTTTGGGTCAGTTAATCCAGGTTTGTCTTGACCTCAAGATTTTGTGACTGGAAGATGTAGGAGCAGGCAGCAGGAGCCCTCTGGACACAGGAAAGAGCTTTCTTGAGATGGGGGTGCCACACTCAGCTCCTTGCCAGCATGAGCTACCAGGCTAGGATTGAGGGTACAGAAGAAGGGGGCCTGTGTTGAGGTTCTAGGAGCAGTGCCCACATTCCAGGGAAGGCCCTGGGGCAGATGCCCCTCCTCCCTCCTGATTCTTGCCATCCCTTCTCCTTCCAAGAGCCAGACTTAGAAGACTGCAGCTTCCGGTGTCATGGGACCTCCCCCCAGGAGAGTCTCTCTTCCATGTGAGGGAGGGTGCACCTTGGAGAAGGGAAGTGGGTGGGGACTGGGTTGGGGGCCTCCTGGTTGGTGGGTGGGGGTGGGTGCTAGCTGAGCCTGAGCCATCTCCCCTCTGGACACAGGTCTCCCATCAGTAGCCTCCCTGCACTTTTCGACCAGACAACACCGGCACCTTGTGGGGGTGGCCAGTTAGACGCCACAGCCCCGGGAACAACTAATATGGAGCAGTTGCTGGAGAAGCAGGGCGATGGAGAGGCTGGTGTCAACAGTAAGCAGGGGTGCACGGGCATGGCCTTTTTACTGGCCTTGCCAGTGGCCCTAGAACTCATCTTTAACCTTGCCTAAGTGGTGTCCTGGGCATTCTTGATGCTCTCTCTACTTTGTTCCTCATGGCCTCCTGGCACAGATCTTAACCAAACCTAAGGTCAGGAGCATCAGGGCCTTCCCGAAGTGTCCTCAGACCGCTGTACCCCAGATCCACCCTGCTGGCAGTGGGTCACCTTTTCCCTCCCACTGTCCCTCACCATGTCCCTCCCGCTGGCCCTGCCTCCTTGCTGCATGATGCACTAACCTCAGGCTCCTCCTCCTCCTCCTCTCTGAAGTTGTGGAGATGCTGAAGGCCCTGCATGCACTGCAGAAGGAAAACCAGCGGCTGCAGGAGCAGATCCTGAGCCTGACAGCCAAGAAGGAGCGACTCCAGATCCTCAATGTGCAGCTCTCCGTGCCCTTCCCTGCTCTGCCTGCTGCCATGCCTGCCACTAATGGCCCTGTCCCAGGGCCCTATGGGCTGCTTCCTCAAGGTGAGAGATCCAGCCCAGGCTGGGGAGAGGAACTCCTGCCTGGTAGCTTGAACTAGCCCATTGCATCTCTCTTATCCCCTCCTTTAGCAGGCAGCAATGACTCCTTGAGCACCAGCAAGAGCCCTCCAGGGAAGAACAGCCTTGGGCTGGACAATTCCCTGTCCACGTCTTCCGAGGTGGGCACTGCAGAGGGGGACAGGGAGGAGGAAGTGGAGAGGGGACTTTCAGTCTAGTCATTACCCAGCGGCTGTTGGAAGCTGGCCACTGAAGGGATTGGTTCTTTTTCATTATTTTAAATAAGCAGTGTGTATGGGGTGCCCCCTTAACACAGGACACTGATTAAGCAGTCAGTGAATAAAGTAGACGCAGGCCTCCTGAAGATGGGCTGAGCCCAAGAAAACAACAAATTGCGAAGGAGAAATAGAAAGATGAGCTCTATTAAGGGCTAAGGGACCATGAAGGACGGCCGTCTTGGGGAAGGAGTGTTAGAAGCATTTGTGAAGGGTTTATTACAGTGTCTCATACAAACTAATCCCTGTGTAATTGGTGGCGGTTGGAATAGCAGTTGCTATTGTTGTGTTGTGGTTATTATTGGAATCAAACAAACCGGGTGCTTGCTGCTTCTCTGCCACTTACTGACTGACTTAGGACAGTTATAATCATAAAAATAACACTGGTTGCAAGCTTGCCCGGTAACTTAAAAGCATGAATTTCTTTAGTCTTCACAGTGACCTTGTGGAATGGATATTACTATCACCTATAGTACATGAATACATAAGCCAAGGCAGAGAGGTTGAACCCAGGGCTACCCAAGGCACTGAGTGTGGGTGTGAGATTTGAACCTGAGCAGCCTCTCGCTCCAGTGAGAGTAACAAAGTGGAAATAACAGGGTAGTGCAGGTCAAGTACTAACCCCTGGACCCGGTCCCTTGAAAAATCAGTGCCATTACTATTGTTTGTTACTAAGCCAGATTAACAAAGGGTGCTGAGCCTCATCACTGGGCTCTGCTGTTGGGCCGGGTGGCCTGGAGGTTTAGGGGGCTTTGCACCAGGAGAATGTTGGTGGGTTCTGGGCTGGGGGCCAGAAAGGTCATGCTGGCCCCCTTCCCTCTGACGTGTTCCCTCCCCCTCCCTCCCCAGGACCCACACTCAGGCTGCCCGAGCCGTAGCAGCTCATCGCTGTCCTTCCACAGCACGCCCCCACCGCTGCCCTTGCTCCAGCAGAGCCCTGCTACTCTGCCCTTGGCCCTGCCTGGGGCCCCTGCCACGCTCCCACCCCAGCCACAGAATGGGCTGGGCAGGGCACCCGGAGCAGCGGGGCTGGGGGCCTTGCCCATGGCTGAGGGGCTGTTAGGTGGGCTGGCAGGCAGCGGGAGCCTGCCTCTCAATGGGCTTCTGGGGGGGTTGAATGGGGCCGCTGCTCCCAACCCTGCAGGCTTGAGCCAGGCTGGCGGGGCCCCCACGCTTCAGCTGCCAGGTTGTCTCAACAGGTGAGGGCGAGCTCAACCCTAGGGAAGGGTATGGGAGGCTGGGTGTGGGAGGGCTCCACCCAACACCCTTGTCCCCCCCAAAGGAAGAGAATGCCCTCTGGCCCTATGGGATTTGTAGTTCTGGCAGTCTGTTGACTTCAGGGATTCCTGGGAGCTTTAGTCCTGGGTGTGTCTGGACAGAAGGAGTTTAGAGGACAAGATCTTAACCATATGTCCCTACTGTCAGTCTTCTTCGTTGTCCATCTGTCTGGGCCTGAGGGAGTGTGGGAGCTCATGAGTGTCGAGTCCACTTACCTGCACCTCCTCCTCTGTGTCGCCCTACCTCAGCCTGACAGAGCAGCAGAGGCACCTCCTTCAGCAGCAAGAGCAGCAGCTGCAGCAGCTCCAGCAGCTCCTGGCCTCTCCACAGCTGACCCCAGTGAGTGCCCTCTCCTTTGCCACCCCCACCAGCTCTGCCCAGAGAGCCTACCTCCAGGAACACAGCCATCCAGGAAGGGGCTCCAGGCTGGTGGCATTGAACCTGTGGGGCTTGTGGGCAGTTGGGAGACAAGGCTGTTTTCAGGGCCTCCTGGGCACCCAGCAGAGGTTGCTGTGAGGCCCTGGGTCACATTGCAGTGAGAGTCTGGAGAGTGGCAGGTCCAGTAACTGAGCCTTGCAGTCCCCGCCCCAGAGTCTTCAGGGGGAATTCCAGAGTCTCAGGTGACATTCTCTTAACCGAAATCTTGGAGCTGTCTTACATGTTGTGCTCTTTCTTTAGAGAGAAGTGGTTTCACCTTTTAGAAATGAGGGAATGAACCTGGAGTGTGGCTTAGGTGCGCAGCGTGTATTACGTTAGGTCCTTGTCTGTGTCCCCCAGCAAGGCAATCAGTTGCCAGGTGTGGTATGTGGTATGACAGTAGTCTAAGCATTTTGGCCAAAGAGTAACCATGAGTTCAAGGTGGGTCTAGGCAACATAATAAATCTGAGTCTGCCCAGGACTTTAGAGTAGAGAAAAACCCCAAATGGTAAAAAGTCTGTTATGATGGCTCCACAGGTGAAGGGTCTTCTGTCCAGCCTGAGAGTCCCACCCCTAGAACCTGCATGGCACCCTAACTAGCACACAAAGTAAACATAATTTACAAACTGTTGAACAAGAGAAGCAATTTAACTGATTACTGTATGGGAACAGAAATAAGAACAAAGTTTCTTTGAGAAATCATTATTTTTTTGTTTTCAGACAGCTAGTTTTTTTGTTTGTTTTGCTTTTTTTTTTTTTTTCTTTCTTTCAAGACAGGGTTTCTCTGTGTAATAGCTCTGGCTGTCCTGTAACTTGCTTTGTAGACCAGGCTGGCCTTGAACTCACCTGCCTCTGCCTCCTGAGTGCTGGGATTAAAGGCATGTGCCTCTATGCCTGGCTTTATTTTCATTTTTGAGACACTGAAAGTAAATGCCTTTTAAAGTTACAGAAAAAATAGTTGGGTATGGTGTTTTATGGTTGTAATTTCAGCACCTTGGGTGGTAGAAGAGGCAGGAGAATTGGGAGTTCAAGGTCCTTATCAGCTCCATATCAAGTTTGAGGCCAGCCTGGACTGAATGGACCCCCTCCCTCAAAAACAAAGCAATTTTTTGCCCCTCTCCTCCCCTTTCCATTTTATTTTTAAGTCCATGCCTGTGTACCACATGTGTGCAGTGCCCACAGAGGCCAGAAGAGGGCATTAGGTCCTCTGGAACTAGATTATTTATATATTGTTGAAAGCTACCTTGTAGCTGCTGGGACTTAAATCCAGGTAGGTCTCTTGGAAGAGTAGCTATTGAGGCTGCCCCTTGTTGGCCTGGCACTCAATATGCAGACTAGACTGGCCTTGAACTCACATAGATCCTCCTGCCCCTGCCCATTGCCTCCAGAGTGCCACCTTTTTGTTTTGTGTTTTGTGTTTGTTTGTTTTTCATGGGCACTGGTGTTTTGCTTGCATGTATGTCTGTGTGAGGGTGTTGGATCTCCTGGAACTGGAGTTACAGATTGTTGTGAGCTGTCATGTGGGTGCCATCTCCACCACCAGTTTTTGGAAAGAAAAAAAGAAGGGAAGTGCTTGGAGATTGTTGTCCTGATTTAGTGCTTTCCACTTGGAGTGGCATTGTGGTTGTCTTGGGGATTGAGGACCTGACACAGTGGGCAGGGCTAGAGATGTTTATGATCTGCACTTACCCAGGTACTCAGTTGGCAGATGCTGACCTAGCCACGAATTATCTTTTCCTGTTCAAACAGGGAGATGGAGGCCTAGAGTGTGAAAGTAGAGACAGAATCCTGGTGTTTCTGTTGTGGGCCTTATGGTTCCAGTATTAGGGTCCCTGGTCTGGCAGGGCAGGCAGCCTTGGGGAGAGACAGCAGGGCCCACTGCCAATGCTCAGTCTGTTGTCTTTGCAGGAACACCAGACTGTGGTCTACCAGATGATCCAGCAGATTCAGCAGAAACGGGAGTTGCAGCGGCTGCAGATGGCTGGGGGCTCCCAGCTGCCCATGGCCAGTCTGCTGGCTGGAAGCTCCACCCCGCTGCTGTCCGCGGGCACCCCTGGCCTGCTGCCCACAGCATCAGCTCCACCCCTGCTGCCTGCTGGAGCCCTGGTGGCCCCTTCACTCGGCAGCAATACAAGTCTCATGGCTGCAGCAGCTGCGGCTGCAGCAGTAGCAGCAGCAGGCGGACCTCCAGTCCTCACTGCCCAGACCAACCCCTTTCTCAGCCTGCCCGGGGCAGATGCCAGTGGGAGTGGCCCTAAAGGAGGGGTAAGTAAGGGCCCTGAGCCTTCCTGTATCCCTTGTAAGGGACAAGCAGAGGAGGATGGTTACAGTGACATCATCAGATACATCCATAGCGGGAGGCAGCAACCCCTAGGTCAACCAGATAGCCTGCTGCAGACAGCAAGACCTCAGCTCCCATTGGGGTTCCCTTCTTCAGAGACAACAAAGACCATCCTGAGCAGGTACTAGTAATAAAAGGGCCACTAAGAAAAAATAGCCTTCCGTCTTGGTGAGATGGCTCACTGTGTAAAAGGTGCTTGTCACCAAGTCCAGCAATCTGAATTTGATCTCAGGGACTCATGTAGTGGAGGGAGAGAACTGATTCCAGAAATCTCTTCTCTGCTGTCCACACATTCACGTGCACACACACTTGTGTGCACACACACATGCATACACACTGAATGTGGTTTCTTTTTAATTCCCTTTTAAAAGGAAAACAACTTTCCAATGAGAGGAGCAATTAGAAAAGGCCATTTCTTTTCTGTGTACAGCAGTTAGAAAAAGATGATCTTCTGGGTGGGCCAACAACAGAAGGAAAAGCCTGCTTTCTTTGGAGGACGACCCTGAGCCCAAGAAGCCAGTTTTGGGTACAAGCTAGGCACTTCCTCACTGTACACACTGCAGGCTAGGCAGAGGCCTGCCTACTTCATACTCTACTCCCCAGCAGCCATTCCCATTCTAACTGGGTGTTAGGGCCAGATGCCTCCAGCACTCAAAGCCTCCCTTCTTGTCTTTCCAGACCGCTGACAAAGGAGCCTCAGCCAGCCAGGAAAAAGGCTAATCTGCCCCTCTCCCTCCTGACCCCTACATGGCTTGAGGGGCTTTTCCTGGAATGGGTACTTGGGCCCAGACTCTGCAGAGCCAGGCCCAGAGCCTGTGCTGATGTCCAGGGAGTGTGTGCCTGGAGTTCCAGGTGCTGTGGAGAGGGACTGGAGGGGAGCCCTTCCACTTGGCCAATTCCCTCACTGCACTGGCTGCTTCAGGAGAGAGGATCAGGGGAAGACAGGCTCCAAGCCTGCCCAAGGGCCCACATCCTCTGCAGATGCCTAGGGGCCCCCAAAGAGCAAAGTAGGTCGTGGCATAGGAAGTGGAGAGTTGGTTGACCTACCACATAAACCAGTCAGCACTTGAATGGGGAAGGTGAAGGGTGGTCCCGGGCCTATCCCTGTGTGGAAATTCCTTATGGAAAAAGGGCTGGTCCCAGGTGACTTCAGTTTCTTCCCAGCAGAAGGGATCCCTTTGACTGTTTCTCATCATCCCTCCCCGCTAAGGGTCACAAGCTGAGCTTGGAAAAGCCTACAGATGTGGGGGGCTGAGGAAGGGCAGGATAGCACCTCTTGGGGCCTCATGATGGGGCTGGGCAGGGGGGAGTCCCTCGTTGTCCTTGGTGTCCTGCCCCTTTTTGCACTATTGGCTTGAGGAGTGCCGAGGGTGGGGAGAGGGAGCTGCCTGACTCCACAGAGCATGAGAGAGTGTGTGTGCGCGAGTGAGTGTTTTGTGTGTGTGTGTGTGTGTGTGTGTGTGTGTGTGTGTGTGTGTGTGTGTGTTGAATGGTCAGTCTGTTTAACCTGTCTGTCTGTCACCTCTTTCTCTGGATCTGGGGCAGCCAAGGGCAAGAACAGGCTCAGTGGCCAGTACCAGAGCAGGAGTTCCTAGCTCTTGCAGCCACTATCCCCCAACCAACTCTGGTCCTTTTCCAGGGCATGAATGGTTAACTTAAAAGAAACCACAGTACTCCAGTATTGGAGCATTCCTGGGGGCTGGGGGCTCTGAATCAGGGTACTATCCTACCTTCCCTCCTTTGGACCCCACTCCATCTCAGGGCCCCCTCAGGGCCTCCTCCCCCAAGTAGTTTGATCTTTCCTGGCACAAGAGACTAGGGGAGGGGTAAATGCCGCTTCTTAGCAAAAGTCTCCCTCTCAGAGGAAGCTAGCCTGCCTCTTGAGCCCCACTTTCACCAGCTAGTAGAGCCATTTGAGCTAACAACTGTCCCTTTCACCCACCAGCTATTTTCCAGGGTGTACTAGTGGGTGGCAGAGTCAGTCTGCCCGAGGCCATTGTGAAAAAGATGTTGAGTGGGACATGGGAGCGCCGTGGAGGCCTATGTCCCTTTGGTTGCACTGGCTGGGACTGAGGGTCAGTCCCGGTTCCCCCAATGTTCACGCCTGTGGGTCTCTTTTGCATGTGTGCATTTTGGTGTGTTTCTGTTTGGGTTTTGTTATTGGGGTTTTTGTTGTTGTTTTTTTTTTTAAATAAAAAAGATGTGTATATTTTTGGCAATGACAGAAACGTAGTGCAGATATATTTTTGCCTGTGCTGCTCAACTGTTGTTTTTTTCTGATATGAAAAATACTATTAATATTCCCATTGATAAGACTTTGTAAGATATTAGGGTGGGTTGGGAACCTTCAGAGGCAAATTATTTGGCACTAGGAAGGATTTTTTTGGGGACAGTTGGGATGACATCAAAAATACTTTTCTAACTGCTTAATATCAGAAAGACATCATTTTCATCTTTTCAGCTCTTTAACTCCTTGTTTTAAAGCCAGTGATTATCCAGATTCTTAGACGACTTGCTCATCCAGGCCCACCCTGTTGCCCCAGCCACCATTCAGAGCCAAGTAGCCTCTGCTGTGATATCTGAAAAGTCAACACATGTGGAACAGGAGTTCTGGGTGCCCTGGACCAGCTGCTCCCTGGCCCCAGTCACTCTGATCTCTGGAAGTCTGGTCTCAACTTTCCAGAGCTCTTTTTCCTACTTTGGGCCAGGATGCGCTGGCAGGTAGTCAGGTTAGATTTGCTGAGAGCTCTTGGGCCTTGCATGAATTGGTGCTGCTCTTTTTTAGTTTTGTTTGTTCGTTTTTTGTTTTTGTTTGTTTGTTCTGAAAACAAGGTTTCTCTGTGTAGCCTTGGCTGTCCTGGGACTCTCTGTAGACCAGGCTAGCCTGGAACTCAGAGATCCGCCTGCCTCTGCCTCCTGAGAGCTGGGATTAAAGGCGTGCACTGCCACCACTACTTGGTGGTGTTGCTCCTTATAGTGAGACATGAGGGAAGCTGTGACACTTCTTGGTATGCAGCTTCACAGGGGAAATTATGGAGATCCTCAAAAGGGAACAGAATACTGCAGAATGCCAGGATGGCCTCACATCTTCAGCCTTGGTCCTTTTTTTTCCCCCCCTGAGACAAGGCCTACTCTATTATATAGCTCTGGCTATCCTGGAACTTGCTATGTAGACCAGGCTGGCCTCAAAATCACAGAGCTCTGCCTGCCTCTGCCTCCTGTGTGCTGGGATTAAAGGTATATGCCACCATGTCTGGCTTTGGTCCATTTTTTGATAAATATCTTTCATGGGGTGAGGGGAAAGATGCAGATTTGGAGCCATCTCTGTCTGGGGGAGGGGAAGGATGTGGTTTGCAGAGCGGAAGTGGAGTCTGAGAACGCATGAGTGGATTTTAATGTCACCACCCTCAGTGAGAAGAGATGAGTGAGTAATGCATGCTGAGTCTGTGCCTACCAAGGAGAAGGGGGGCTTACAGCTAGTGGATATCGGTGCTAGAAGGGACTCAGCTGTATTTACGGGTCATTGGAGCTGGCTTTACAGGTCACTGCTCTGAGCCTAGGAGGGACAGGTACTCAGCGACAGCAGTCATGAGCCACAGTACCTAGCCTGGTCATTCCTGTTCCATTGCCCAGTCTTTTGGCTGCAGCTGTTTGACTGGCTGTCCCTGTGTGTGTGGCGTGTGTGTCATGGTGTGGTTGTGAGTGTAGGGTTGTGCCCATGATGGGAAGGTATCTATGTAGCACTGACTGTCTTAGCTCTGAGCTGACGAATCCTCTCCATAGACAATGACACTTTAAGGGTTGCCTTTAAAAAAATAAATTGTATCTCCCCATTCCTTATCCCTCATCCCAGCTTGTGGGTTCCCCCCCAGGCTCCTGGGTCTACTGCTGCCCCTAGGTACCCTGATCTTGAGGCTGGTGACCTTTCCTATGTTGAAAGCCCAGGGAGTGCCCACCCTAGACTCCTAGAAGGGCCTAGACAAATGAGGGGAGCCCAAAGGCTAACAGTTGCATTTCCCTTTCCCAAACCGGCAATGCTGACAGGTTTTCAAAGACACAGGCTCCCCCTGCTACTTCTTTTAAAAGTGCAGTGGGCCAAAGGGAGTAGCAGGCAGCTGGTTCCTGGGGAGAGGTGTCCAGAAGGATGGAGGTAACTTCACCAGGATCTTGGAGGAAGGTGGGGTCAGGGAGCCCTCTGATCCCTCTGATCCCTCCTGGATTGTAGGTGTGTTTAAGTTTCCACCAGACCACCTTGCCCTGACCTATTGAAGAGTTGGGCACTGAGGGTGCCCCCATTCTTCTGTGTTCACTTTCTCAGCCCCCCTTGGCACTGAAGACTAAACTCTGGCTCCCTTCCTTCCATCCCAGCCTGTTTCCATGTAGCAGACCCTTCCTAGGTGAGCAAGGAAGGGAAGCCACAGATTGCAAACCCAGGAGCTCAGTTTTCATTCTTTCTGAAACCTCTATATCCTCAGTCCAAGCGGCAGTGTTCCCTTGCGACCTCCAAGCCTGGAATTGTGCATAGCCTGGGTCATGTATCTTTGTATAACGGATGTTATTTGTACGAAGGGCAGTTCGTAAACAGCACTTGTTCTTTTAATAAAAGAATGTTTTACTAAAAAATCAAAGAGACCTTGCTTTGTTTGGCTTCTGTGAAGGGCGGGAGCTGGGCTAACACCTGTGGGCGCTAGTGGGTGAAGGACAGGGCATGTCTGGTCAGTGACCCTGTTTTCAAGTACTTGGAGGAATCGTTCAAACCGGAATGCACAGAATATGTGTAGGTGAAGATACAGATACCCGAGCCCTGCTGGGTGATACATCCCCACACTGCGTGTGTGTTCAAACACTGCCTTCGACTCGGCAGGGCCAGGGCGGCACCTGCCGGCTCTAGGGCTGCTCGGCCGGCTCCTCCCAACTCCTGGCCGGGTGGCGTCTTCCGGGAGGGGGTTGGGGAGGCGGAGCGGAGAGGGTGGCGACCCGGACGCTGCGATGCGCAGAGCGGCGATGAGCGGCGTGGGGACGAGCCTGCACACTGTGGTCATGCGCGGCGCCTCGGTGAGCTGAGCGTCCTCTCTCTGGTGACCCGGGGCCGTCCAGCCCCGCCTCCCCGGCCAGGGCCAGACTCCGCCCCTCGGCCGCGTTTCCCCTCGGGGTAGTCATTTTTCCTGAGGGATCGCGGAGTGGGTGCCAAGACCTTCCTCTGCTGCGACCGTTTCCCCAACCTTTCTCTTGCTCCCACGCCCCCTTAGCCTGTGTTCTTTTCCTTCCCAGATGGGTTTCCGGCGTCCTCCCTTCTCCCCTGTTTTTGTTTTTCTGTTTCCAAATCACATCTGCCTGCCTGCCTTCTTGAAGCCTTGCCAGAGGCGGGAAATCTCTTCTTGGCTGGTGAGTACACCGAATGCCTTCTTCTCTCAGCACACAAGTCCCTCAATTCCCTAGATCTCAGAACTACATCGAAGACAGAGGCAAGGGACACCCCTGCTCTCAGCAGGCTCTAGGGAAGGTTTGGTGGACCAGAGGGCAGAAGGCAAGGAGCTAGGCTTCTGGACTGAGGCAAGGACAACCGCTTTGAGGGTTTGAAAAAAGTAGCCGGGATCATGCAAACTTACAGTACTTCCAAGGCTTGGGATGATCCGAGCTTCTTGTCTTCCCTGGCCGTAGGCCCGATGGTTCCCCAAAGACCCAGCCAAACCCGTGGTGGCCCAGAAAACGCCCATCAAGTTGGAGCTTGTTGCCGGGAAAACCTACAGATGGTGTGTGTGTGGCCGAAGCAAGAAGCAAGTGAGTTTTTACCGTTCCCTTTCACTTCAGCGCGACAGTTCTATAGTTGTGTCATCCTGAACAAGTCTCACCTCACTCAGAAGCTAAGCAGGGTTAGGCCTGGTTAGTACTTGGACGGGAGATGCAACACATATAACCCCCCTCGTCCACCTCTCTTGCTTGGGGTCAGCATGCTATATCCTGGTAACTTCAGTCCATCCATATTTCCCATCTTTCTGTATATACCTGAGATACCAAAAGACTAGCCAGCCCACACGGTGTGTCCAGCGTGTCACACGCTTCAGTAGCTGCGGGTGCTGTAACTGGCTTCAGTCTCCTCTTCTTGCAGTCCTGGGCTCCAGGGATCGTCCTTCCCTCTCCCGCCCCCTCATAGGTAGCATCTCTGCCCATGTGCCAGGCTTTGGGCCTCACTGCTGGGAAGATTTTGCCCTGTCTTCCCCTCCCCAGGACTCTCCTCATGCTCTTTTTACCTTGGATGTGACTTCTGTTTGCCTGCTACCTTCTGATGCTGTCTTGCATTGTAGCAGGAGCCTCACTATTTTTCTGGAGACCTCTGCCCTGGTCCCCATGCTGTGACTGCTGTGAGAAACCCACATCCTAAGGCTTACTTTGCCATAAATTTGCTGTGGCCTTTGAGCAGATATTCCAGAGGGCGAGGCAGTTTGAAGGGCATGCCAGCCAGAGAGAGACCTGTGGGTGGGGTAGGTGCACATGCCAGCTCCATGCCCTTTAGGCAGGAGCGGTCTGTCTCTCCTCCATTCTGCCCCTAACAAAGCTTCTCTCCTCTTTTGGCCTCGGTCTTTATCATCGTCTGTTTTGAAGACATCTTGGGAGGGACATGGTGCATACATGAATAAGGCTACTCCAGGCAGGAAGGTTGTCACTGACAGAACCAAGCAAGACTGACCCCCACTCTGGAAAGGCACTAGGCTGCTGGGCTCTCTCACTGGGGAACATTGAGAAAAATGTCACTTTCATGGGAATTCACTTAGCAATTAAAATACCTGAGCTCAATTGATAAACGTTTGTCTCTTGTGCATGGAAGCCTTGGAGTCTGTCCCTAGCACAGAATAAACAGGGCATGATGACACACATCTATAGTCCTAGCACTTGGAAGGTGGAGGCAGGAGGACAGGAGTTCAAAGGTCATTCATTCTCAAGCAATATAGTGCTCAAGGTAGGCCTGGATTACATGAGAATTTATCCAAGAACAAAAGAATGGGGCTGGTGAATGCTCAATGGCTAGAGGCACTTTTCATACCTCGCTAACTTGTGTGATCCTGAGGGCTCGCAGGGTAAAAGGAGAAAACCAACTCCCCTTAGTCGCTCTATGACTTCCACATGTGTGCGCATGCACACACGCCAAACTTAAAAAGTGTAAAAGCCAAACAAAAAAACTCTAACCTCATTTGTATTAAAATTGCCTCTACCTGAGGCACAGTTCCCCTTGCAAATTGTCCAGTCTATCTGGGTTTCCCAAAGGCGAACCATGAGAAACACTTGTAATACTGTACAGTGACTATTATTTCCGTGTCAGCCTTCCTGTGACCCCCACATTGCAGGGGAAAATAACTGGCCAGCTCTCCTCCCTCCCCACTGACTTCTTTTTCTCCCACCAGCCCTTCTGTGATGGCTCCCACTTCTTCCAGCGCACTGGCCTCTCCCCACTCAAGTTCAAGGCCCAAGAGAGCCGCACGGTGTCTCTCTGTACCTGCAAGGCCACCCAGCGTCCTCCTTACTGTGACGGCACCCACAAGAGCGAGCAGGTTCAGAAAGCAGAAGTGGGCTCCCCACTGTGAGGGGTACAGTGGCTCCCGGCCTTCTGCAGGCTTCCCCTCTATGAAGGCAGCAGTGCTGAAGGGGACATCCAAGGACCAAGACTGCTTGTTAGCAACTGTTCCTGAAAAACCTGTCACCTGTTGTGCAGGAGAGCAGGCCCCTGGTTCAATACCTGGTAAAGCTGTCATTAAACAATGGAGCCCACCCTCCGAGTGTCCCTGTGGTCATTAGCAAGGCTCATACTACCTCCTGCTAGTTTGGTCTGTGGAAGCCAGTCAGCATGGTGGGGCTGGGGAGCACTTCCCTCCTCCTCCCCTTGCCCCAAAGAACCACAGGCTCAAGAGAGTACGAAGCATTTATTACAAAACCAAGAGATACAAACGACCCAGGACAGGAGGATACAGTCGCAGGACCTCAGACTCAGGACATGGTGCAAACAGACCCTCGGGCTCAGAACCTCACATACCTGAGTCAATGCTCTGGTCTCCCCTCCCCCTCCCCCAGCTATGTAAGCTTGAGGAAAACCAGGTAGGCAAGGTCTGCCCCAATAGGTGGCCCACTAGGTAGAGCAGGGGTCCACTTTGTTTTTCTTGTGCTTCTAGATGCCTCTGTCCTGTCCCTGCTTGGCCTGTCAGGGGTGGGGAAGTGGACTGAAAGCTGTTGGCCTTTAGCAGAACTGGAGTCTGTGCTTGTCTGGGCCACTCGCCTCAGCCCTCCACTCTAGGCCCCCAGTGAGTGTCACCTCCAGTCTTGCTAGTGTGGGTTTCTGGGTCAGGGTAGGGGCAGGAGGAAAGTCCCCACATAGACTCTGGAGGGCTGGGGTCTCCTCAGCCTGAATCTTCTCTTCCATAAAGGTAAATGATGCAAAGGCCACACACAGGAAAAAAAAGGGAGACAGTAAGGGGAGGAGGGTAAAAAGCGTAGACCCATCGAGTCTTTGCACAAGGTTCCCACCGTCCAAGGAGGCGGAGGAGGAGCCTTCTCCACGGCCACTTGACCCTCACAGCCAGAGGACAAACTGCACTTGTAAAAGGCACTGTCTTAGCAATTCTCTGGACATTCAACAATGGGGGGGCTTACAGGTGTGTGTGGGGAACAGCGGAGATACCCCATATCTAGTCAGCTAGGAGACCCAATGTGCTCTCTGCCCTGGGAAGCAGAAGGAACACAGGGGAGGGCTTTAATGACCCCTTAAGACCACCGGGTAAGCCCCAGAAGAGCAGAGCAAACTACAGAAGACCCCCTAGACACAAACACTCCCACCCACACGAACACATACACACACATACAGTTTGTTTCCTGTGGCATTTAAATTAATCTGGTTGGTCCATAGAAAATAAGTATGTATATTTGGTTTTTCCTATGTACATATATATATTTATATATAGATAGATATTTATTTATAAAACCCACCTCCCACTGTGAAGATGGGAGGAACCAGGGAAAGTCAAAGGTGGAAAAAGGGGCCCAGAAAAAGTAGAAGGGAGGGGAGAGGTGGCTGCTGAGGGAGAGGGTTCCTTTCCTCAAGTTAAGGGGGGGCAAGGAGCTCCGTTAACAGTCATCTTGCGCCCCCTGCTGGTGGAGGAAGGCGTTTGCAGGCAGTTCGAAGTGCCCCCGTTGGTAGTGGAGTTGGTCCCACTGGCAGTTGAAGGAGGAGTGGGGGAGGTAGGGTGGGTGGCTGGGGGGGCCGTGGGAGCTAGGAGAGCCATGGGAGGGGGTCGCAGGGCTGGGCAAGGAGGAGGAGGTGGCTGGAAGGGTGGCGGGGCTGGGAGCCTTGTCGCTGACTGACTCACACTCTGATGCCCCGCTGGTGTTGGTGCCCTCTGAGGGAGTGGGCACTGTAGGCAAGGTGAGCCGCTTGCAGGCTGGCTGAACACGGTACTTGAGGGGGAGAGGCCCGTTCTGTGGTAAAAGGGAAGAGGCCAGCAATAAGAAAAGAGCAGAAAGACCAACTAGGGACCACCCACCCTGCACCCAACCAGCACCCGAGGGAAGGCCTGAGCTTGGAGAGGGCCTGCGGAATAGAGTCAGATGAAGCCGGACAGCCAAATATAGAGACAGACCCATGAAGAAAGAGTGTAAGAGACGGAGTTGGTGGTGTAAAATCATAGAATGCAGAAGGTATCATAGGCCACAGTGGTGCTGTGACCCCAAGTCTGGGTGGTAATAGCCAGGGGAGGGCATCAACAAGATACATGGTAGATATGCCAGTAGTCTCAGCATCCAGGAGCTGAAGCAGGAGGGCTGCTGTGAACTCAAGGCCAGCCTGGACCTCATACCAAGTCTGAGGCCAGCCAAGGAGACCCATCTCAAACAAAACAAGAAATGGCCTAGGGCTGAGCTGGTATGATGAGCCGCGAGGGCCAGGCCTGGCGTCTCATGTGACTGTGGCCACGGTCGATGCCGGAAGGACCTCCTCCCTGGGACTGCCCCACCCTCTACCACCTGCTTCACAGGCTCACCCTCCGCCAGGGATAGATGTAGGCAATGTCCATGAGGGTGTAATACTCCTTCAGGGGTTCATCTTCATAGAGGATCTCCACCTGGAGGGAAGGAAGGACACCGTGAGGCCTGGCAGTCGCACCCCTGGCTGCCACGGCTGGAAGTCTTGGGGTTGGATGGAGCAGAATGAAAGATGGTTGCAGGAGGTCTCTCCTTACTGTAGCTGTGACTTTCCTTCCAGAATTGGCCAAAGTCCCGCAACCTGCTGATGGGGAGGGGGAAGCTTCTTTCTAGGGCTCCTAGAGAGTCAGCAAGGACAAGAGACCCCTTGCCTGGGCCTGAGGGAACCACAGAGGCACCTGTGATACTCCTATCCCTGCATCTGACCTAACTGATGGAAGCAACAAGGCCCACTGTCTCCCCACCCCAAGTGTAGGCTAAGCGAAGCCTTTGCAGGAGCAGCACCTAGGAGCCAAAGAAGCAGGGTCAACAGAACCAGAGACACACAAGGGACCCTGTGCTGCTGTGTTCAACGGGGTTTACCAGTCTACGTCCTAGAGCTCCCTGGTCTCCTTGAAGGTCTGACGTTTTTTCACACACACTTCCCTGGTCTTGGGCCTTTTGTACACCAACTACGACAATTACAGGCTGTCTTATCCTAAACAGTTGGGCTAGCCTACCTGTTCCTGAAGGTCCAGCTGTATGTGATGACGGGGCCCCCCCCACCGGGCCCACTGACAGACCCCTCATGTCTGAGGCGGTGCAGCCATTTACTCACCTTGTACTTGCTTGGTACATCCATTTTGTTGCGGAGGAACTTGGCAAGGTGCATGACAGTCATGGCTGCTGGGCATCGCAGGAAGCGCACCCCTGTCTGTGGGGGAGGGGTCCAGTGAGAAGGTCTATCTGGTGGCAGTCTCTCTCAGCTCACAGCTCACTCCCCCAACACTCACCTTCTCCTTGTCCCCATCCCCATTCTCCATGAGGCTCTTCTTCTCCTCTCGGTCCCTGGGGGAAAGAAGCGAAAGATTGTGGAGTTGCTGGACCAAATACACATGTCTGATGGGGTCTTGGGAGGATGGGCCAGAGTGGGAAAGGGCTTAGGCTGTACTTGCCTGACTCCTTCGTAGAACTCAATGGAAAGACTGACAATCTCATCATCGCCCAGGGCTCCCTTCTCCTGCTCTAGGACCTCGCCTCGGTCCTCATTGGAGCCGTTGGGGACTGTAGAGGGAGACAGCTCAGAGGGGTTGGTCAAAGATAGAGCAAGGGACTGAGGACCTAGGGAATGGGAGTGGATGGCTCAGAGGCTGAGCCCCACCCCCTCTGGACAGCACTGTCTGGCAAGGAGGTGTGGTAGAGACAGGAGGACCAAAGCTGGCACTCAGGTTGCTTTGGGAACCAGAGCATGCTTGAAAATGAACACTCACCCTCCGTCAGCGGGTACGCTGCATAGAAGTCCCGCCGCCGTTTCATCTCATCTAGGGGAAGGAGGCAGGCATGAGCAGGCAACAGCTGGGAGTGGGGGAGGTGAGCAGACTACACAGGGGCTCGGGATACCTTTAAAAAGCCCAGGCACCAACTTGTAGACAATGTCCTGGAGGGTTTTGTCTGACCTGGGAAAGAACATACATGAATGTGACCAGCCACGGTACCTTCACCTCTCCAGCCGGAGATCAACATCATACCCCTCTGAAGCCCAGCACCCAGACATGCTGGTTCTGGGTCTGGCATTTCAAGCTGGAAGCCACTTGGAGGGAGGGTAAGGGGACACAAGCCCACCTGATGCTCAGTAGCGGTCGGGTTTTATGGACCTGGACGTCACACATGGGGCAGTATTTGTTGGTCTCCAAGTAGCGCACGATGCAGGTTTTGCAGACTTGGGGTGTGGACAGAGAGAGGACAATGAGGACCCCTTCTTGCCCAGGCCTGTGCTTACATTCACCCTTCCCTTCCCATCATGACCCAGTAGCTCAGGGTGCTCAAAGACTCAACATGGCATCGCGCATTCACACATCTGGCCTGTTGCGCCTGGTCTACCCTTGGGCCCTGTCTCTGTGTGAGACAGGATGGTGTTCTGCCTAACATACAAAATGCACCAAGTCCCAGGCTCCTCTGAGCCAGCCTGGTAAGATACCACACCAGTCCTGGATCTCTTGTAGCCAATCTGACAGCACAAATGAGTGACCCCAATCTTCAGGGATCAAACTTAAGCCAGAGATACCAAAGAAACTGGGGGTTTCTGATGCTGTCCTGGAATGAACTTCTGGGCCCAGGACTACCCCCACTTTGTCCCTTCTTGGCAGTTTCCCAGTGACCCATGGTTTGCTCTCCTGGACAGCAAAGGCTGTTCCAGTTTCCCTAGGCAGTGTCCCCAAGCTGAGCACCCCGTACTAAACTCACAGGAATGCAAGCACTCCACGATGGTGGCGGCGTCAATGAAATAACCCCCACAGAGGGCACACATGAGGTGAGGGTTCAGTTCCGTGATTTTAATCCGTGTGGTCCGATGCATGATGCCAGGGGTCAGGACTGAGACTTGGGAAGCGTCACCCTGGGAAACAGAAATAGGATCAGAAACCCTCAGCCATTTCCCCACACTACTTCTGTCAATAGCTTTCGTGAGCACACGATCTTTTTTTTCTGACTTAGATGTGGAACCAGGCCCATATTTGAGGCTGGCTGTTTCTGGGCCTCCTGCTGAGTGTTCACTGGGTGTTGGGGGCTGAGGAGGCTTCTGCAACTTTGACTAACAAGGTTGTGCACCAATCAGAAGTAGTAGGAAAGACTCTAAGAAACACTAACCAACTCTTGAAGATGGACGTGGGAGGGCAGGAAAATGAAAGGAAATAAACAGTGCTTTAAAAAAAATCTTCCTGGGAGATAGGGGAGGCAGAGGCAGGTGGATCTCTGAGTTCCAGGTTAGCCTGGTCTACAGAGCAAGTTTCAGGACAGGCTCCAAAAGCTACACAGAGAAACTCTGTCTCAGAATTCTCTCCTCACCACCCCCCAAATTTTCCTGGGACCCATGGACCTGTGAGAGAGCTCACCAGGTAAAGGTGCTTGCAGCCAAGCCTAATGACCCACATGGTGGAAGGAGAGGAAAAAAGCCAATGGCTGCAAGTTTTCTTTTGACTACCTGTATATATATATATACATATATATATATATACACACACACAGATACATGCACACACACAATGCAATAAAATTTTTTTTTTTTTTTTGGTTTTTTGAGACAGGGTTTCTCTGTGGCTTTGGAGGCTGTCCTGGAACTCGCTCTGCAGACCAGGCTGGCCTCGAACTCACAGAGATCCGCCTGCCTCTGCCTCCCGAGTGCTGGGATTAAAGGCGTGCGCCACCAATGACCGGCGCAATAAAAATTTTAACATTCCTGATTCCAACCCATATCCACTCAAGTGTCAAATATTTACTGAGTACTAACAGGTAGGAGAAATCATCCAGGCAACTCAATTCACAGACCAAAATGAAGAATAAGTTATCACTGGTCCATCCATGAGAGAGATTTGTCATGGGGAAGCCTTCTTGAGAGATACTAGGACACAGGCCCATAACTTGTCCTCTTGGCTGTGTCCCACACAGTCAGAACACCCCCTCCTCTGATGTCCCTGGACACATATAGCTCCTTCCAATCTACCACATGCTGACCCTTTGGCCTTCTGACCAGGAACCCTGACGCTGGTTTTCATTATGTCTCAAATTAAAAGGAGCTGCAGGCCCAGCCTGACACTGTACTTACTCTATGTACAGTCCAAGAGCCTGGCCAAAAGACCTTTGCTGCCCTATGGAGAGAGCCACCCCACGGTGCCCCAGCCCCAATGCCACACTAAGTGCTCCCCACTGTGCACGGTCCGGGAGCCCACTTGCATGAACACACAGAATTGCTTCATGTGCCACTGGGATCGCACCATGTTCCAACCTGGCGACTCCTGCCACCTGTTGACAGGCTCTCCTAGACACCTGCCAAACTGGGCAGAGAGCGTTCTCTGTCCCCAGTTCTCCAATGCACCTGGCCAGGCCCTAGCAGGCCAAAGTCATTTCAAAGCTGGCTCTGACTCTGGGCTGGAGGAGGCTGCCTCTCTCCCCTCCCACAGCAAAAGCCCAGGAGCCGGGCTTGAGAGGCTGGCCAAGCCCCAACCGCTCCTTTACAACATACAACCTTTTCTCTTTTCCAGAAAGATTTCTAAAGCCACCACACTGGGTTTTCTAGGACAAGAAATTCACAGCCAGGATCAGCAGTTTCTATAGAGACCCCAGGATGAGCCTGGCCAAGACCCAAATAGCCAATAAGGCCCCAGGGCACCTGGCCAGAGACTGGGATAGATGGAGACACACAAAGGCCATACTTGGGACAGAAAAGAAAGGGGGGAACAAACCAGCCAGAGACGGTGAGGCAGCCACCCTGGCCTGCAAAGATTCTGCCCGTACAGGTGGCCATAGCTGATCCTCCCTGCATGGGTCCCCTTTACAATTTCAAAGAGGCTGCTGGCTACTCTACTGTTTAGTTGTTTCCATGGTAACATAGTCCCTGGCAAAAAGCCCAAATATTATTACAACCATCCAGAGGATAGAACAAACTCCAAGTGGCTGTCTCTTTGAGCGTGGGTAATAGTCACCGTGTGTACGTGCTGTCTGGGCTTCCAAAGGTACTTCATGTGACTGCTTGCCTTGTGTGTGCCTGTGTCCAGAGACACACAGAAACAGAAGTAAAGATTATCAGAGTAGGATTCAGCCAGGGAATCTAGGCTGCTAGGTTAAGTTGTTACCCTATCCCCTACACACGTGCAACACACACACACACACACACACACACACACACACACACACACACACACACTGCCTCAGCCACTTCAGTCACACATGACTTCATTTGCAAATAGATACCAGTTCCTAAGAAGCCACAGGAGCCCGCTCAGCCCATCATTTTTGAGGTTTCATACTAGAGCAGCCCGCAGGTCCAGGTCCCTTCCTGGGCTCAGGGTAATAAGGGAAAGGCATACTATGGGCTGAAAAGCAGAGACCCTCCCAGTTCCCTATCTCTAGGGGCCTTAGAAAGCTACCACTGGTGCTGGGGGTGGGGAGAGGCACTGATTGGCTCCTCACCTGATTGCCATGGTTACCTGCAGGGCCCTGTCAGCAGGTGCCAAGAGTAGCTGTAAACAGAAGCTGGAGTCCCCAGCGCATCCCCTCCCCGTTTCTCTGCCCAGGATCAGGACCTGTGTCCACTCCTCCCCTGCAGTGGGCTGTGGTGCTGGGGGAAGAGGGGAAAGGACGCAGTGCGTCACTATGGAGGGGACAGTCGGGGTAGACAAAGGGCTCATGGAAGAAAAAGTGAAAGACACAGGTCCCAAGAAGCAGAAAAGGACTGGTCTCAGTGGAGCTAGGGAAGAGGCTAGCCCCAACTACATCCCTCCAACACGCCCCCCCCCCCAGTCTTTACCTGAAGTCTTGTTCTCTGCTCTCTCCTGGCTCCCAGGGGCCCCAGACAGGAGCAGGAGAGGGCTTGGTCAGCACCCAGTCCCTTGCCATTTGAGCTCATCTGCCTCTCCCCAAGCTCCCAGCCCCCTGCCCACAGACACCTCACATCTTTCTAGTGAACCAAACTTCCCTCTCTCCTGTAGGTGTTGGCCTCTGACAACACAGAGAGAGGACTCTGCTGCTCCCAGGGACACTAGCCACAGCCTTGCTGGGGCACCAAGTCAAATCAAGCCCCAGGCCATGCGAGGTCATTCAAGGTCACATCCTAACTTGACTAGCAGGGGTGGACAAGATCTTTGAAAGCATGGTCTGCAGCCTTCTCATTTTACAGATGACAAACTTAGATGTGACTTGTCCAAGGTCATGCAGTGAAATGGACAAAAGCTGCCTACCTCCTGTTCTAATGCCCTTCACCCACTCAGCTGAAGAGCTGAGCCCGGGGAAGCCCTTACAGTGGGACCGCCAAAAGGGAGGCAAAAGCTAATGCCTACACCACTTCCACAGTACAGATGGGGGAAACCGAGGCATCATGGAAAGAGCGAGCAAGAGTATAGAGTATAGCCATGCATGAATTTCTAGCATTGGTTCCCTTCCAGCTTCACAGACCCAACTATGCCCACCTCATGAGTTTACGCATGGGTCAGAGCACTCTGCACTAAGACACGGTGAAATCTCTTTTCCTAACACTGGAAAAAGGCTGGGAGCTCCTCTACCCACCACTCAGCTCCCGAAAGGCAAAAAATAAAAAGTAAAACACAAGTATACACAGGGCAATACTGCAAGACACACACATCAGAGCTAGACACGCCCCTTCATATCTCATATTCACAGCATCCAGTCAGATAAGGGTGGTCACACACAAGGCGCACAGACACTTGGCTAGACCGGCTCCCACTCCACAGATGTAGAAACCATCCCCACCCACTGCATCACATCCAGCCTGAAACCGGAGCCACCAACAATAACGTTCTTTGAACCCTTGGTCTTCCCAGGGTAAATTATAATTTAAGTCTTCCAGCAACAAAGGCAGTTCGGCCCCCAACCCCACTCTGGGGCCAGAGGTTGGAGGGCTCAGTTGACATCTGACCTGTACAATATGTAACCTCTTCCACTTCAGGCTCTCTCCGTTCCCATGGCAACAGCTCCATCAACCAAGATCTCAGGGAATCAGTCATTTTCCCTCCTCCCTGCTCACCTCCCAATACTTCAACTTGAACAGACTCAGGCGACAGCCGGACTGGATCGTGGAGGCTGTTTCCTGCCTCATTCCAAACACAGTTCTAAGTGCACAAGCCCCAACCTTAAACCAGGGGAACCCCTGGGAAAACCTCTCCACTAAAACGCTGCAACAGAGCTGGCTTTATGCTCCTCCGTTTACAGTAATAACACCTTGGCGCAGGGATAGGGATGGAGGGGGTGTCATGAGTTTCAGGAACAGTACAACTGTAAGAAGTACAGAGCAGGAGGCTCAGGACTGAGAGCTGGCTAAGAAACCCCTCCCTCAGCGAGAGGGAGCCCAAGAGAGACTGAGGCAGCATGGGGGATGGCGAGAGCAAGGCTGGGGGTTATGAGACAAAGACGCAAGGACCCGAGGTAACACCTGTACATACTTAAACATTTAAAATTCACACATGCATACCCTCCTCGCTCAAGCCAAGCAGAGCAATTTTGGGTGGACCCGGGGAGTGGGGGAGGGAGAGAAGCGGGTTGTCTAGACGCCCCTGGGGGGCAGGAAGGGCGCGGGGTGTCTGCAGGCCCCCGGTTCCCCAGCTTTCAGAACTAGCCGCGCCAGGGCTCAGGGAAGAAAGAGGAGCCGCTTCCATTCGCCAACCCCCCCCCCAACCATGGAAGAAGGGCCAGCTCATCAGACCTTTTGGCCACTACTGGTGAAAAGGAATAAATAGCATGCTAAATCTCTCCTCACTCCCATTCTACCCCCTCCACCCGTGCTTCCCCCGGAGCCCAGGTCAAAGGATCAGGCACCCCAGTGGCCGAGTAGCCACTCCCTCCCTTCCCTAGAGCCAAACTTCGGTGGGGCCCCAGGAGGGACGGAGGGAAAAGCTCTGCCGAGGTGGTTCAGGGAGGGGGCGGGGCGCCTCGCACCGGGACTGGGGAAAGGGACCTCTGGGGGAGGTGCCCAAGATCCGGACCCCAGCAGTTAGGGCGCCCTCCCCCGGCCTCGCAGCCACCAGAAAGCCAAGTCCCCTTTCCCCGGGCCTCAAGTGCTCGCGCGTCTGCCACGCTCACTGCTCATTCGAGAGGCGACCCTTGCCCGACTCGAAGGGGGCTGATCGGCCAGAGCCACGGTCTGTTCCGGCTGGTGAAGACACTGGGTTGGGGGTGAGACCCACCCTAGCCCGTGTCCCCAAAGCCCTCGTGGCCGCCCGGACCCTCCCCCTCGATACCTCGCCAGCAGGGTCTTAGCAGGGGGCTGCTGCACAAAGAGGAGGTGGTCGAGGGAGACGCCAAATCGTTAAGAGGGGGAATCCACTTCGGCCATCTTGGAAGGGAGGAAAGGAAAAAAAAAAAAAGAGACCGGGAACGGGAGAAAGAAAGGCGGACGGGGCGAGATTGGACAGCGGCTGGCAGGGCGGGAAGGGGACGCGGTCGGCAGGCCAGGCCGGGGCTCCCGGCTCCCACTGGGGTCTGCGGGGAAAGGTGGACCGGCCCCGGTCGCCGGCCCCAGACGCTTACGAGGAGCAAGGAGGCAGGCGCGAGTCGGCGTCCGCTTACCTGGCTTCGGGGTCCGGTGGGTCTCGGGGAGGGGGATGGGAGGGAGGGAGGGAAGGGAGGGGAGGGGGCCACAGCCCTGTCGCTCGCTCGGCCGGCGGGAGGGGAGAAACCTATGGTAAGAAAGGAGTTTGTAAGAGCAGCTTGGGGTGGGAGGGAGAGTGGGGAGGGGAGGGGACGAGAGGGGAGGGGCCGTGGAGGGGGGGCGACAAAATGGCTTTTTTCCTCCAGACAAGAGTAGGTCCCGCCCACTACTCACCCACGTGACCTCATTCCTTCAGGATGTTTGCAGAGAGGGAAAGAGCAGGGGGAGAGGCTAGCTCAGCTGCTCTCCACCTCCGCGCCCTGGGCTTCCCCCAAACCCGAGGACCCCTCTTAACCAAACAGATCCCTTGCACCCGGAGGAAAGATCCGGCTGTGTTATCTCCAGTCGTGATACCTCCTCCTTGCCCTCCTAAAATAAGTGTGTCCCCCCTCTCCCACCAACCCTGGGATTCCTACTCTAGCTGGGGAGCTTGGAAAATGGTGAGATGCAGACTGGGCGGAAATGTGTCTCGCAGCACCCGAAGCCGCGCCGCCACCAAACGGCACTTGGGCGGAGGACACGGCGCCGCCGGCCACGCGTCCGAACGAGGTTTACTCACTCCAGCTGACATTCCCTTGAGAATCCTAAGTGCGTGTGTGACCCGGAGCGCGCCCCCCCCCCCCGCGCGCCGTTTCGGGGACGCCGCACCTCACAGGGAGCGCACGGTGGCCGCGGGGCTTGGCTGTGGCCGAGGCTGGCGCGCTCGGCGTGCTCGGGCGGAGAAGAATGGAACGCAATTCGGGGCGGGGAGAGCAGCCCGAAACACGAACTCAGGCGCTGAGCCAGAGACACAATAACTAGCCGAATTCGAGAGGCCCGGGCGCAGAAGGAAGCGACGAGTCGAGAGAGGACGGGCGCCTCTTTGCCGCCAGTGCGCCTCCCTCGCCACCGCCGAGAAGCCGGCGAGCGCGAAGGAGGACTGTGCGAGCCGACTCCTACGGTCACCCTCGGGTCCCCTGCGGCCCCGGTCCCAGACAGAGGAGGAAGGAGAGCTGGAAGAGACGGCGCCGAGGAAACGAATCGATTCTGCGTTACCACGAGAACCGTGGACCTCATTAGTTTTCTCCATTTCGCTTACTCGTTACATCTGATTTATTGGGGGTGGCCACTGTGACTTTCCCTTCAAAGAGCTGAATTATCCGGCCTGAAATGCCTTTAAGCGCCAGCACGGTGGGTTGGCTCGAGTAGGGAACGAATCTTCCTGCAGCTTCTGAGCGCCCACCTCCTCTCCTGTCCCTAAGCTCAAAGCAGCCCCGAAGTTGGGGGCCTCCGGACTGAGTGCATTTACACCCTGGCCCGCTTAAGCACCAGGAGCCCTGTGGACGCTGGCGGTCCAGTGACCCACCGCTTTCAGCCCTCAGCCCGCGCTGGTCGAATGACAGTGGAGAGGAAGGGCGGAGAAATTTCCGTCTAGACCGAGCGGGAGAGGACCCGGGAAAATCGGTCACCTGCTTCCCAGACCCTACATCGGGCACCACGAGCTCACAGGCTACTGTGGAAAGGGGACTCGGGTTAGACACGTCCACTGTCATCAGGGTCAGTGTGTCCCCGCATCTGGGATTCTGTTATAGGGAACACAAGTGCTCAGCACGAAGGGTACCGCAACAGGGTCTCCGTCTCTGCCTTTTTCTTTTCACTAGAAGTCCCCGAACAAGAGAAAACTGAGGGGCGTCGGAAATCTCGATTCCATCAAACAACAGCACCCAGGAAGGTCTGGCTGCCCCTGGCTACCTTGCTTATTAAATGGGTATCCATTTACTCCTCAAACAGCTATTAAGTTCCAATCCAGAGTAAACCGGAGGAGAGTAGGATCACGCCGAAGACCCACTGCTCACTAAAACTCCAACAAATAATTGTTAGCATCTCTGTTTTATCAGAAGAACCCCTGACTCAACCCTTCCCACACCTGAAGTTCTCCAGTCTTTCAGTCTTTATTAACCATCTTAGAAGCACCTGGCATATGCCAATGTCAAGTATTGCTTTAGGCACAGCAGGTAACGCTGGGCTTTGACATAGAACAGGACCAGTGAGGAGAAGCCTGGAAAGACCCGTCTCTATCCGTCTTGAAGTGCCAGGTGATCCTCTAGACTTGTTCCTATGTGGGGTGTGCAAACATGGGAGACGGGGTCCAGAAGAGACTTCCTTTGAGCCAAATACCTAGAGAACGGATTGAAAGAGCCCCTTGCACGTTCTCTTTAGGGAAGGTAGAGGCTTCCTGCCCACCTCAGCCAATGCTCCTCTGCAGACATGAAGAACCCCTGCTTTTCATGCTGTCTGTCTGTATCTTATTCTGTCGTCTAGTTGGTAGCAACTTGTAGGGAGGGTCACTGTCAGTCATAAATCAGAGGTTCCCAAAGGGCAGAAACCTGGGAGGGACATCCAGGCAAAGACTGCTTCCAGCGCACACTAGCGCCTTGCAAGGATGGGATCCTTTTAATATGGTGACAACGGCCATTGCTTTCAAGTGCAGCCTCACCTCTGCCCTTTATGCTTCTCCCTCCTGCAAACAACACCCTCTGTCCATCTAGGCATCCGTTTCCTCATCAGCGCCCCTCTTTTCCTCTGCCCTTCTCTGCAGATCGCAGCTGGGGTCTTCCTCTTCCACCTGTATCCCTCACTTTGTCCCCGAGGTTGCTTTTCTGCCTCTTTCCTCCGGAACGGATGTCCTATTTCAAGTTTATATCGTCCACTGACAATGGAAGGCTGTGCAGTCTCCACAGCAAATTCATCCTTAATCCTAGGGAAAAATGCATTGTGAAACATGGCAGAAACCTGTCTTTGGCTTTCCTGTAATCCAGACTGAGGACACCGGTGGTCAGTGGAGGTGGCGAGACGTTAGAGAGAAATCCTGTAAATGAATTTCTAAATATAAATGGCTCGGTACAAAATTTGGTTTATGTGATTTTTTTTTAAAAAAAGGCCTCGAACCGTCCCTGGGTGGGCTCGAACCACCAACCTTTCGGTTAACAGCCGAACGCGCTAACCGATTGCGCCACAGAGACGGTGATAGCTGCTGGTGAGACAGAGAGCCGAGTCAATAGAAGCGACCGCGATATGGCGCAAGAGCAGCGAGAACGCAAGCAGTCATAGAAGCTTTTCCAGCGAAAGAAATCCGATCACGTAGAACCCGGGTGGGTTAATCTCAGGAAGGAAAGGCGAGGGACACGCCCGTTCCACCTGCGTTGCCCCGGAGCGGTTGGCCTAGGTTATCCTCGGTTAGTGACTTAGATGTAGAAGGACACAGAACATTCCTTTGTAGAGTGAAGAGAGACTAAAGGCTATGTCAGTCGACCTGCAGGGATGGAGGGAAGGGACTCCAATCTGTAGCCCCCCCACCAAAAAAAAAATTCTCCTCTGCAGCTGAACCATCGCAGCACGAAACCTCGGTCGTCTGCCCATTCTGCAATGAATGAGCGCCCTCGGTATGCTCGGCGCCAGGGGGCATTCGTAGCTCCGCAAAGTGGCCGGAGCACTGTAGTTGTAGGGATTTGTGAATGAATACATGAAGTCATCTAGCTTGAGTAAAATGCCCAACTCCTACAGCGCCGCAGTAAGCCCTCTGCGTACAGCCGAAGCCCTGCAAGGCCGCGTCCCAGCCCACGTGGTGCCAGCTCCGCCCCCTCCCCGGGTCCGCCAGTATCCCAACATGCCCCGGACCGGAGGCTCTTCCGCACTCACAGTGACTTTTCACTTTCCGCTTTCCATACCTCCGTTGTGGTGTCTCAACCAAACTACGCATATTTTGTGACTGACGGGATAATTATCCAATAGAAAGCTGAACTGGTCAGGCAGAGTCGGCCCACCAGCCAATAGGGAGACTCGACGAGAGCGGTGTACTCGAGAAAGCCAGAGCCGGTTTGCAGGAGTCGCAGTGGTGATCGGAGTCCTGCTAGAGCGCAATCATGGTGAGAATGGGGAGTAAGGGGACTAAATCTGGGATGGGAATTGAAAGCATGAACGGGTAAGGCTTGGATTCGGGACGGAGAGGGCCTGGTGGTCATTAGAATGAGCATTGCAGGACCGTGCAGATGAGTGCGGTTCCTGGGTGCCGCATCGGGTCCATCTTAGGACTGGAGCTCCCGGCGTCCAGGCGCCTCCGGAGACTGGGCTGAAGGTTATGGCAACACCTAACTCCACGAACTGAGCCCTTTTATTTGTCTGTCTCCAGTCTATTATGTCCTATAACGGAGGGGCCGTCATGGCCATGAAGGGAAAAAACTGTGTAGCCATCGCTGCGGACAGGCGTTTCGGGATCCAGGCCCAGATGGTGACCACGGACTTCCAGAAGATTTTTCCCATGGGTGACAGACTCTACATAGGCCTAGCCGGGCTGGCTACCGACGTCCAGACAGTGTAAGTCACCCAGAGCTCCACCTTCACCCTGGTATTTTCGACTTGTCTTGAGCAACCTGATGTCAGCCATCTGCCAAACACCACCACTGCTGGACACTGTAGCCATACAGAGATGTGTCCCAGACTGGGGGTGTTGACGCACGCCTTTAATCCCAGCACTCGGGAGGCAGAGGTAGGCGGATCTTTGAGTTCGAGGCCAGCATGGTTTGCAAAGCTACACAGAGAAACCCTGTCTCAAAAAAACAAAACATAGATGAGTCCCAACCTACGTTTTCCAGCATTACTCTGTTCTGGACTCTGTGGGAAGCATCTTTGTCAGGGGATCCATTAATCATGGTATTGATATTACTGGTTAGCTGTCTCACTGAAAGCCTCAGAGAATTTTTTGTTCAAGATGCACATTAATGAATGCCAGCCAGGATGGTAGTGCAGGTCTCTCTAGAGCCAAAGGCTGTGTGTGTCCCCCTAAAGCATTAGGTGACTGGCAAAGCAGACATACTGAGTGATAACTAGCCCTGCTGAGCTGGTAGGTTTTAACTCCCCACCTACCTAGTTGACAGAGCTTAAGTGAGTTGAGAGTCTGAAAGGGGAGCAAACACGTCATGGTGTGTGATGGCCCTAGCATGGGGTAATGATGGCTGTGGTTGGTGGTGGGGAAAAAGGATGGGACTTTAAAAAGTAAAATGTATCGATTTTTGTCCTTGTTTTTATTTGATGTGTGTGGATGTTTTGCCTACATGTATGTCTGTGCACCACGTGTGCAGTCCTGCAGAGGCCAGAAGAGGCCATTAGACCTCCTCCCCACCTAAGTTGCAGATGGTTGTGAGCTACTATATGGTTGCTGGAAATAGAAGTTAGTTCTTCTGGAAGCGTAGGCAGTGCTCTTAACTGCTGAGCCATGTCTCCAGCCCCCACATTTATTATTTTATTGTGTTTGGATGCCCAGGTGCCACATGTGTGTAGAGTTCAGGGGACAGCTTGCAGGAACTGGTTCTGGTCAGGCTTGGTATTAGTTCCAAGGATGGAACTTTGAGTTGTTGCTGACTAGCCTTAGTGGCTGTTGTGAGGCCAAAAAAAGATTCATTCATTGATTCCATGAGCCTTGAGGTTGAGTCAAGCCTCCTCCCCCTTCCCCTTCCTCCTGTTACTAGAAATTGAGACCAGGATTTTAAATGCTTAAGAATGTGATGTGTGTGCTGTTGGACTATATTCTCAAGCCCAAGCCCTCATATCCTTTTATTATTGTTTTATTATTATTATTAGTTTATTTTATATGCATGGATGTTTTGCTACATGTGTTTTGTGCCAGCTGCATGTTGTGGCTCCGGAGGCCAGAAGAGGTTGTTGGATTCCCCAGAACTGGAGTTGTAGAAGGCTGTTAGCTCCAGTGTAGATGCTGGGAATTGAACCCAGGCCTGCTGGAAGAACAGTCAATGCTCTTACCCACTGAGCCATCTCCCCAGGCAATCCCCCTCGCCAGGCCTTTTATTTTAATGTAATGCAGGCCATCCTCTGTGCCTGAAGGTTCTGCATCAGATTGAACTAGCTTGAATGAAAAGTATTCTGTGGGAATGGGCTGTAATTCGATGACAGAGTATATGTTTAGCGAACATAAGATCCTGCATTCAATCTCTAGCATTAGGGAAAGGGAAAAAGTAGTTCCTGTTTCTAATCCCAGCATTATGGAGACTGAGGTAGGTCTGCCTGCTTGCTATGGGCAGCAAGTCCTCATTCTCTAGGCCTCGGCTTCCTCATTTATGAGATGAAGTCAAGTTTACCCCAAGACCTCCATTCCTGTGTCTTAGGAAGCCCTGCATTGTTCAGCAGGTGTGGCATTGGTTGGTTCGATGCAGGGACTAACCTGGAGCTCTGAGGTGGCCCTGGGGGACATGAGGCCATTCTTTGTAGGCACCTTCTCATCAGTGAGTATAGCACCTGCTCCAGCATTCCCTGGTAGGGACAGAGATCCTGTACCTCCCCGTGTTACTCTTGACTGTGCGGTTAAAGACTAGAGGACTTTTTTTTTTTTTTTTTTTTTTTTGGTTTTTACGAGACAGGCTTTCTCTCTATTGTTTTGGAGGCTGTTGGTCCAGCCCAGCCTCGAACTCACAGAGATCTGCCTGCCTCTGCCTCCTGAGTGCTGGGATTAAATGTGTGCACCACCACCACCACCGCCTGCATGACTAGAGGACTTTGAGCAATGATTCACCCCCTGCTTCTCCTCCCCCAGTGCCCAGCGTCTCAAGTTCCGGCTGAACCTGTATGAGCTGAAGGAAGGGCGGCAGATCAAGCCTTACACCCTCATGAGCATGGTGGCCAACCTTCTGTATGAGAAACGGTGAGCGGAAGCAAGACTGGCAGTCAGGGGAGGTTCAGATGTGAGTTAGGCAGAGTGCTGTGGAGTGTTCTTGTGGGGACACTTTCTCCCTGGCTTCTCTCTTTCATTTCTTTCTTTTTTTTTTTTTTTTTTTTTAACGAGACAAGGTTTCTCTGTATTGTTTTGGAGGCTGTCGGTCCAGCCTGGCCTCGCACTCACAGAGATCCACCTGCCTCTGCTTCCCGAGTGCTGGGATTAAAGGTGTGCACCACCACCCACTGGCTGAGCACTTGTAATTCTTGTAGTACACCCAGGTTTGATTCCCAGCACCCACAGAATAATAGCTCACGTCTGTGACTCCAGTTGCAGGAGGTCTGATGCCCTCTTCTGGCTTCTGTGGGTACTGTATGCATGTGGTGTACAGACATTCATGCAGACAAAAACACTCATACACATAAAGATTCAAAAAAATTAAAATAAGATTGTTTCTAATTTAAATAAAAAATATTTTAAAATCTCAAAAAAAAGTTGAAGGTCATCATATGTTAGAAAAGGGTGATACAAGTTTTAAATATCTTGTAAATTTGATGCTCAGGAGGCTTGAGAAACTCAGGACCATGTTACTTCTGGCACATAATTAAACACAAAATAAAGTTTTAATAAAAGAAACAACCTTGCAGCCGGATGTGGTGACACAAGCCTTTAGGGAGGCAGAGGCAAGGGGGGGAATCTCTTGAGGCCATCTTGATGAGTTCTAGGACATAGAGAAACTCTGTCTCAAAAAACAAACAAACAAAAAAAGGCAGCTATAAACCAAGGAGACAACACAGGTAGTTTCTGCTGGGACTGGCCATTCAGTATTGGTTTGGTTTTGTCTGTTTGCTTTTTGACACAGGAGCTCTGTGTAGCCCTGGCTAAACTAGAAATCACTATGTAGACCAGGTTGGCCTCAAACTCCGAGAGATGCTCCTGCCTCCCAAATGTTGGTATCAAAGGTATGTGCCACCCTGCCCAACTTGAAGTTGTCCATTAAGATCCTAGGTTTTGTTTGTGGTCCAGGCTGGTGTCCAGCTTGATCCTCCTGCCTCTTGAGTACCAGGACCAGATGTGTGCCACCAAACCCAGCCACTTTTTTTTTTTGGTTTTTCGAGACAGGGTTTCTCTGTATTGGAGGCTGTCTTGGAACTGGCTCTGTTGACCAGGCTGGCCTTGACACTTTTGGTTTTTTTAAACTTTCCCACAGTACTGGGTGGAGCTCAGACATTGAGCTCCCTGTGTGCTGGGCATGTGCTCTGCCAGTGAGCCACACCCTGGCCAGTCTCAACCTGTTTCTAGAGAAGCAGAGGTGAGCAGCACAGACAGAAAGGGCAGTCACAGGGGGAGCTCTGGTAGTGGTGAAGATGAGAAGGCGGAATTCCCAAAGGAAGACTAGGAAGGGGTGAGGGCCAGGCGGAAGAGAAGTCAGAGGGGCGTGAGCATACCGAAGAATGTACCGGGAGAAGGGGAATGGGCTGCACAGGTCAAGCCACAGGGAAAGGATGCTTCCAAGCCCCTCCCTCGGCAGATGAGTGTGTGAAAACCAGTTCTCTTGAACTCTGGACTCTCTCTCACCCTGGCCACAGGTTTGGTCCCTACTATACAGAGCCTGTCATTGCTGGGTTGGACCCGAAGACCTTTAAGCCCTTCATTTGCTCTCTAGACCTCATCGGCTGCCCCATGGTGACTGATGACTTTGTAGTCAGTGGTACCTGCTCTGAACAGATGTATGGGATGTGCGAGTCTCTCTGGGAGCCCAACATGGTAAGTTAGCAACACCCAGCAAGGCTGGCCTCTGAACCCGCGCCATTATAGACGTTTGTGCTGCGGGAAGTAGAGGGGAAGGTGTGGCAAGAGAGCAGGCCGCAGCTGCTGCTCCGTCTGAGGGTTTCCAGCCGTTCCACCTGGGCTGGCTGACCGGGAGGAGAGCAGCCTCTGCTGACCCACCCTGCTCACATGCTTACTACCGCATCATACTGGGTTTCTGGTGTCCTCCCCTATGACTGGCAGCACACAGGGTTTCTCTGTGTAACAGCTCTGGCTGTCCTGGAACTCGCTCTGTAGACCAGGCCTTAAACTCACAGAGATCCGCCTGCCTCTGCCAACTGAATGCTGGGATTAAAGGCGACATTCTGTTCTGTCCACCATTTACCTCAGCTATGAATGGGAACATTCCTCAGAGAGGGGATGAGAAAAGAAATTAGATCTATGCATCACAGGGAGGCAGTGAAGTGCTGCTCTTCTGCTCTGCAGGCTTGGGGGAAGCCAAGTCCAAAGTGACCTCAGGGGCTTACTGCCTTTAACAAGGCAGGTCATTCAAATGTGTTCACACTCGTAGAGGAGGAGGAAGAGGACAAAGCAGGCCTGGGCGCCAGCAGGACACCTGTCCCGGGATACAGGCAGGGCCAGTTATGTCAGTGAGTTGAGAGTCCCTGTGAGAGGAGGAAGCTCGGTGAAGTGAGGCTGGAGAGAAAGGCGGGGTTTAAATGCGTCCCTTCAGTGGAAGGGACCTGAGGCATCCAGGCTACAGCCTGCCTTGATTGTGGTCACTCACCTCCAGGAGATGCTGAGGTCCTGACTGGAGACAGTGAATCCAAGGTGGAGAATTGAGGAGAGGGGGCTGGTTTGAGGAGTGGGCTTGTAAGATTGGACAGGCTGAGTTTTGACATACCTGAGGGTCATGCAGGACATCTCAGGCTGCTGAGAACTACACCTGAATCAAGCAGAGCTACCCTTCTTTTACAATGGAGGAACTGAGGCCTGTCACTGGATATAATTATGACACTTGCCCAAGATGGTACTTTGAGGGTTGAAGTGTTTTCTTCGTCCTGTTTCTTCCTGAGGAAGGAGCTGAGAAGTTTCCATATCCAAGGAACCATCCCTCACACCAGGCATGGCAGGGCCTAAGCAGGGCAGCTGGAGTCCAGAAAACAAGAGGGTTGAGAAGGAACACATCCCAGGTCTGAGAACTCTCTTCTGTTGGCAGGACCCAGAGCACCTGTTTGAAACCATTTCCCAAGCCATGCTGAACGCTGTGGACCGGGACGCTGTATCGGGCATGGGCGTCATTGTCCACATCATGTGAGTATGACTGGAAGAATTCTAGAAGCTTCAGACACTCGTGCCACTCCTTCCCTAGCACACCACTTACCTGTACGCCCTCATCAGGTCAGGTGCAGCCCAGAGAGGTACCGCTGGAAGCACGGGGGAGGCTGAGACAAGAGGACTTTGAATTTAAGACTAGCCTGAGATGGGAGGGATGGGCGGTGGTGGCGCACGCCTTTAATCCCAGCACTCAGGTGGCAGAGGCAGGCGGATCTCTGTGAATCTGAGGACAGCATGGTTTACTGAGTGACTTCCAGGACAGGCTCCAAAACTACAGAGAAACCCTGTCCTGAAAAAACAAAACAAAAAAGGAAAAGAGGGACAGAGAAGGGAGGAGTGAGCCAGCAATAGGCCCAGATGGCAGCCTGAGTGTGCAGCCGGACTCTCCAGCCCTCTGTTGGTGATAATCTGTGACCCTGAGTCACCTTCCCTATTGGTGTCCCCAAAGCTTCAGAGATGACCATGGGCAGCAGCTTCCTGCAGACTGCGTTGCTGGTGGCTCTCCATCCTCCACACGCCCTCTAGTCTACAGCCCTGAACTGTGTGCATGGTTCATGTCCCACGTCCCAGCCCCCAGCCAGACCTGAGATGTGTGCTCCCTGTTTGAGGCTGTCACCAGTCACCTGATAGAACGGAACAGTGCCCCTTCTCCTAGTGGGGCCTGCTTACTACAAGGCCACTTGTTCCTTAGGCCTGGGGGGTGTTCTGGTCCTTGACAGGGTGTCTCAGTTCAGCCCAAACCATAATAAAGCTCCCCTGCCCCTGCCGCCTTCGTAATGGTCTGTAGGGCAGCACGTGCCAGGCAGCCTTTCCCATTCTTACAACTGAGGGTCAGAAGGGAGGCAGGCAGGCGAGAACAGTAGACATGATTATTTGTATGTGTCTGGTTTTTCTCCCTTGGCAGTGAAAAGGACAAGATCACCACCAGGACACTGAAGGCCCGGATGGACTAACCCTATACTCTGGTCCCAGTTTCCTTTTGTTGTTTTTCTTTTTAATAAAATTACTTTTCTTTCACTGCTACTTGTCTTTGTTCCTTCAGCTTTGTCCGCACTGGGGACAGAGTCCAGTACAAAGAGCTACTCTTTGGGTTTTCCTTTTTGGTGTGGGACTTGAACCCAGGCCCTTGGACATGCTAAGCACACCTTCTGTGGCTGAGCTACACCCCAACCCTGTTTTCTTTTGGACTTGTCTTGCTTCTTTGGCACACATGGGGCTCCGTCCTAGTCACCTGTTGACGTCTGCACTGGGCTGGTCACTTACACAAGTGTGCAAATCCACTTGCTAAGTGGTGTTGCAAGGATATAAATGAGTGTTCGTTTGACCCCCCAAACCTAGACCTCCTTCATTAAACTCTGCTGGCAGTCTTCCACCATTCTTCCAGTGCTTCTGTGGAATTTGGCCAAGGACTCATGAATGATCTATGTCAGTATTTATCTTTGTCTTCTGTTCATCACCTGGAGTGGTGGGACCCAGTCTTCTCCTCCAAGATGGTTTCATTAACCATTTGGAGCACTATCGGGCTCACAGTAGGTAATCTTGAAACCAGCAGTAGATTCAGTACCCAGTAAATGGATGTTTGCATGGTTCCCAGGGAGCCTCTGAATTGTCTGGAGGGTCCATCCAAATTCCTGTTTAATTTTTTTTTGTAGTGTTGGGGGAAGGGAACACAGGCCTTCAGTATTGGGCAGTATTATACCACTGACCACACCCCAGGCAGGCTTGTGTCTACCTTCCTCTGCAGGGTGGGATTTGGCTGCTTTTTTTTTTTTTTTTTCTTTAGCTTTCTGAATCAGAAGGTCTGGGATGAGTTAAGAGTTTTGTTTCTGAATCTGAGGTGTCACTGATAATGGCTTGGTCCAGGTCCACATTGAGTCACTAAACTGTGTGCGTGTGTGCGTGCTGGGGCAAGCACTCTATCACTGAGAAACACCCCTAGCCCACGGTGCTGTTTTCAAAGCTACACAGCCAGTAGGGATACATGGCTCTAGCCATTGTCTTATCGCTGAAGTGAGGGAAGGGCATGGTGCATGACACCGTATGTGGCAGGCACCCTGCTCAGTGCTGTGAGCGCAGTGCTGCTCATTGTGTTCAGTGGGCTGTTGTCATACTGTTTCTCCAAACCACACACTGATTTTGCCCAAACTGCTTCTAAACTGGGACAAAAACAATTCTAATTCGGAAGAGGGCTGGGTTGTATCATCAAAGGATTCACATACCAGATGTACACAAAGCTTTTTGAGTTTTATTTTGTCCTCCGGTTGGAGACTCATTTTAACACGCATGCATTTTAAAACAGCAACAAGGGCTTGAACTGTTCAGAGCAGACATTAGACAAGCACAGGGGTGAAAATTCCTATTTAAAAAAATGGAACTTGCAGCCAGAAATGGAGAAGTCACATGTGGTGGGTAGTACTTTATCCTTCGGTCCCAAAGGTGACTCCAGACTTGGTTCACGTTGTGTGTGTTCAATGTTCTGACCTGCTGCCGAGATGGGCCAAGCAGACGGGCTCCCCCTAACTGTATGGGCTCCCATCTCACAAAATGGTTGTGGGCAAGTGACAGGCTCTTCTAGTGTCTCCCAGCCCCATTTCTGGTGTCTCAAGCTGTTAAAGGACAGCTGAGTGTCATTTCCCCGTGAGTCACTCTTCCTAAGTGGCATGTTTCAGAGGAGGACTGGGACCATGGCTGGAAGATTTGGGGCAGCTGTCTGAATGTGTTTCCCTTTGGACCCCAACCACCATTACTGCCACAAAGAGGTGAGGTCTCTAAACTCGGGATAACACACACACACACACACACACACACACACACACACACACCACACACCACACACCACACACCACACACACACACACACACACAATGGGAGGTGGGATTGGCTATCCGGGAAAGTCCTGGGTCTTTGGTCGGCCTCTCCAGGCAGACCTGGCACACTGAGGACAGGAGGGCTCCACAGGACTCCAGTCTCTCCTGCCTTGAGCCCTGCCAGGGGACCCGTTCAGACCCAAAGCCCAGGGTGAAGAAAAGTGTGGCGAGGGGAGAGGAAGAGCTGCCTGGGGTGGGGACTATAGTGCCACTGAGAACAGCCTGGGGCCACTCATGGCGCCAGCCACAGACCAGTAACCCCTGAGCTAGATAAGGAGAGAATGAGCACTGCAGCAGACCACACCTCTTGCCCTGCCCCGCAGGCTGACACAGGGAGGGGCTTAGACTAGGAACACAGCTGAGGCCATTAGTGTCCGTTAGTTTTCCTTTCAGCTCTCACTTGAGCTGCATATGAGACATACTTTCTCAGCTTCACACTTTCTACAGGAGGGATGGGGACCAGAGAAGTTGTGACTGGATGCTACACAGTAAGTGCTGGATGAGGAACTGGGACTAGTATTCCCTCTCTTTTCCAAATCCAGGCCTCACCCAATTGTCTGGGTCTTTCTGCTGAAAGTTCTATTCCTGGAAGACCCAAAAGGATTCTGGATGCCATAAGACGGTTTGGCCGTTCATGGCCCTGAGGAGTGAAGTTAAGGGTCTCAACCCCTGCTGTCCAGAAGGTGAATGGTGGGACTCCAAAAAGAGGGAGCAGATAGTGGTGTGCGTGCGTGCGTGCGTGCGTGTGAGAGAGAGATCACTTTGAAATTGAAGCCCAATAGCACTTCTTTGTCACAGAAAGGAAGAAAACTTATATGAACCAAGATAAATAGCTTTTAAACATATGAGTGCCAAAAGAATCAGAGGGCCAAACCCAAGGTTTTGAACACAGCACAGAGAATGACCTTGAAAACACAACATAAAGTCCACCAAACCACAGCTCAATTAGTTTGACCCACTCAACAATACTGTCAGGAAAACAGAGCATTTGAAACAGAATGCTACTTCTCAAAATTGTAAACAATATACAAAAAAAAAAAAAAAACAACCCACAAAACTCAATGTTAAACAAGTTAGATACCCGGTAGTTGCTTTGATAAGATTGTTACACTTTTCATATGCATGACAATAGGATCGGCCAGGAGTCTGGCTTCCAAGCTTGGGGCTCCTGGGAGCATATCCAGATTTTTCACTCTTGATTGTGGGGTGGGGTAATCATGTCCAAACATTATTCCTATATAACCCTCTCGTAAATTAAAAACATTTCTCCATGAACCATGTGGTTCCGAGTACTTCCCCAAGACTCTGACGGCTCTGCCCCAGAACCTCATACTCTTCTTGGGAAGGAGTGTGGCCCTCACCTGCCTCACCAAGGGCTTCCACCCAATGTGGTGGTCCTAGAGAAAGGAGCCCATCTTGTTTCCTTTCTTAGTGCTGGGTAGAGAGGACACTGCACAATAGCTCTGGCTCCCAAAGCTGAGCTCGGCTCGTTTGGGAGGCGGTCACAGGAAATCATCTATTCACCCGAGATAGTTCCACAAACCCGCTTCACATCTTTGGGGTTATCTACACATTTTCCATCTCATCCTAAATTCCTGATTCCTTCTGAGGGGTTGGGAGGAGGTAGGAAGGTACCTCTCCCAGTGAAGGCCAACGGGCCGCTCTTCCTGGCCACCAGCTGCTCTGGTGGCATCAGAATGACTTTGTATAGCTCCCTTCTGAGGCCCTGGGCCGGGATCCTGAAGGAGGCTGCAGGGTGTGGCTCTTTCCGAGGAGGCCGGTAGGCAGATCCCAAGTTCAGAAAGGTAAGAGGGCAACAAGGAGACCAGCCCCGAGGCTGGGGATGGGTCAAGCCCCACAAATGGCCTCCAGATAGGCTTTCCTGGGTCACATCCTCAAGTGACTCAAGCAACCTCGGGTGGAGCACCTTGCTGGCTGAAGCTGTCCAGGGAAGAAGTCACAGGCACAGGGGGCCAGACACCTACATGGTAGGCCAGGGCTTGGAGTGGTGTCTCTGCAGTGAGCACCCGGGTACTTAGGGCTCTGCCCCTGACCACATGCTGCTTACAGGTGACTGCACCAAGTGGTCAGGAGTTAGGATAAGGATGATGCACACGACCCCGTTTGACACATCCTAGTTTCTGGGATTTTCCCCAAGGGAAACAGCCATTGAAACACAGGTCCTGATAATTGTGAGACACTTTCTAGTTCCCCTTGAGCCAGTGGGAGGCAGGCTTGACAGACAGGGAAACTCCTGGGCAGAGGCGTAGGTGGCTGGGCTGAGAGCGCTGGGTTCTTTGAGAACCAGTCGTCTGAGGACCCAGCTGCTTTCTGGTCACTCACCATCTCATGAAGATGAACCTGTTCCCCTCTGAGGCCTCTGACTCTGGTCTGAGATGTTGGGGTCAACCTGCCATGTTCTTCTGCAAGGACAGGATGGCGGAGTGACTGTTAACACTTCACTTGGATCCAAGGAGGAAACATGGAGGGAACTATGCACAAAACTCCATGAAATTAAAAAGTCCTTCTAGGTGAGATCAAACACGGCTGACTGAGGTGTCTGACCTCCTCTCATAGTGTCAGAGCAACTGCTGTTCACGGCCCTTGTGCCAGGCTTAACTGAAGGGAGCTGAGGACCTGACTGGAATCGGGAAGGTGGCTAGGGTGAGGACACAGAGCAGTATAAATAGCAAACCTGGAGCAGTGAATTTAAGAAACAAACCCAAATAAACCCACAAAAGGCATCTCTAGCCCCCAGGTATGGTCAAAGGTTACAAGATGCCAAAGAGGGAACCCGGCTTTAACCAGGGACAAAAGGGACCTATCAGGGGTGAGCAGGAAGTAAGGCTACATCCTGTGAACACATCCCCTCCCTCCCTGATAGACTTGCTCTGTGTCACAGGCTGCAGTCCCTTTCCTAAAGCCCTCTTGACCCCCCTCTGCTCCCCACCCGCCCTTCTAGCCCAAATACACCCTTTCCCTCTCCCGATCCCCGACCCCTTGTCCAGCAGTCTGGCCCTGCAGAAGGTAGAGACGACTACGTCAGGATGTTGGACATGAACTCATTGAAGCGTTTAGAGTACTGCTCCGGATTCACAGTGGAGATTTCAGCCCCTGCCTGAAACACACAAGATACGGACATGCATCAG